AGCCACCTCGAAAAAATTCGTACGAATTGCCGTGAGATCGGGCTGTAAAAACCTATGCAATGTTAAATGTGTACAATAAGTAATTATACATGTTTGGTATCATTTGAAATGTCTCAGTGCGACTGGTACAAAGGTCTCATTCCCAAAGAAGTAAAACAAAAGGTAATAAAGTTCTTGAGAGATAACTTGCAGAGGAGGGGTGGGTCCTCCAGGCAAATGGCATTCTGCTCCCAAAAAGGTGTAAACTCTGAATGCAAATTCCCATTGTTAGCAAATGTTTCCATGTGAAAGAATTTTCTGTCTTGGTCTGGGTATATAATGAATTGCAACAAGAGGCTTAGGGCGATTTGTAACTCAAATTAGCCTGTGATGCCGAGTGTATGCAAAACACTTCACATCATGTATTTTATAATGTCAGGTTCGCATCTTCTCTCTTTATTCCAGAGCATTTCATGTTTTGTATTTATTATCGTTGAACTGATTATGAAATTGGCATGATACATTTACCTAATAAATTGTTACATTTGATTTATTCCGACTGACTCTGAAATTGTTTTCCCAAGTAGATTAAATGGATTTGTTTGTTACCGCAAGTTTTGCGTCAGATTAGTGACAACTAATTATTGGCGCTAATTTATGTGTACTTGGTTTGCAAAGATAAGAAGTTAATTTCCGTTTAGGGCAGCAAATGTGCTGTTTGACCAACCTAAATCTGGGTGTCTTACCTGTGTTTTAATTTAATGTTACTTTAGTTAATTTAATGTTACGGCATGGCCAATCCAAAGCTATTATAAGAGATGTAAAGTTGGTTGACTTATCTGTAGTGGCCATACCTCTACTGAAGTAAACGTTAAGTTAAATTCAAGTATATGCAATTCCATGGGGGCTATACCAAAGTATCTTTGATTGTGTAAACGTGAATGTGACCGATCTCAGGTATATAGCAATTACCTCTGTTTGGTGACCAAAACTAATGACCTTGTGAACGTGAGACCCTCGTTAAACAGAATACTTGAGGACCTCTGAGCGACATAGTTTCCCAATCAGGGGTGCGTTTCCCAAAGCCAACTATGGTCGCAAGTTTCGTCGTTACCAATAGAGTTCAATGGAAATTGCGATCATAGTTGGATAACGATGCTTTCGGTAAACGCACTCCTGAACGGGTAAAATATAATTAAAGAGTTAAAAAGATCAAACATTCGCTCACTTTTAATGATGCTCAGATATCATTAAAACCTTTTTCATTTATGGAGTCAGATGAAATAACATAATGAGAAAATGTATTTCATTTAATCTTGTTGTGTTGCGTAAAAGGAAAGACCTTCACCCGTCTTATTGGAAACCCCCATTTGGACCAATAAATGGGCTTACATTGTTAAAAAATTTTTTATTTTTTTATTATTTGTAGTAATAACCAAAAACTATAAAACAGCTCCAAATCAACTCATAAGCTGAAAAATTATGGCATACACTTAATTTTTAGTCTGTTCTTACTGATTCTTCCAGTTCTGTCACAAACCATTCTCACAATTTAGACCAACCTTATCTATATTATCTAGGTAGATAACTAATTTTCCAAGGCAAAACAGATGTCAACATCATAGGAGATACGAAAGATGTATTTTCCCATTGACTTTATTCAGCATCAATCTGCCATTTACATCATCATGCTGGCATGTCATACTCAAGTATACTCCCTGCTGATTAAGTCATTACACTATAAATGACCTGTCTTCAATTCAGATGACTCTGACTATCATTATACGTCCACTCATTGCACTCTTAAGTTGATTATTTGGTGCACATCTCTCTCTCTCTCTCTCTCTCTCTCTCTCTCTCTCTCTCTCTCTCTCTCTCTCTCTCTCTCTCTCTCTCTCTCTCTCTCTCTCTCTCTGTCTATCCATGTTCTTCCCAGTGTTTAATGTAAAATGTATCAGAATTATGTCTGTATTTCCTCTTAGAGCACGTTGGCAAGAGTGGCAGTGTTCGGGGATATTTCCCTTTGTCCTCCAAAGAGAAATATGTGGCAAAACATTCCTCACAATCTGAATACAATTTCCACAAGCAGTCACTGTTCACTGTCTGTGAGCATCCATTCCTTTTATAGTTCATGTAGGCCTATTAAACCTATTCTTATCATCAACCGATGTGAGGACATCTCTCTCTCTCCTCTCCCTCTCGCCAATGGCTTTGACATTTCCAGTTTGATAACGCTTAAGCTTTTCATATCAGTCTAAATGTCACTGTGTGTTTCCTCTGAGCTGGACTCAGCGTCTATCTGTAGCCCATTTAAAGAGGTGAGTGGCCTCCACAGGAAATTACAGCCCGCACCTGACCCTCATCGGACGATGGGACCATCGGGCATAACCGGAAGCTTTTCAAGAGACTCAATTACATTTGATTGAACACTCACATACACACACACTGTGTATGGATTGATTTACTATGTGGGATTATAATCATTATGATTACTCATAACATGGTTGATACTCATTGTTAATGTGTTCGCAGAATTATAGTTCACTTAAAGGTGCAGTAAGCGATTTCTGAGAAATGCTGTTGAAAGTGGATCGGACCAAGCACCACAACACAGCAGTAGGGGGCATATACCCTCATGAGGGGGAGAAGAGAGATTGAGCAAGAGGGAGATTTGAAGAAAGACTGTAGAAAGAGAGATGGCTGAGAGACATTACAAAAGTAGGGGTGTAAGAAAAAATCGATACACTTGAGTATCGCGATATTTTATTTTGCAATACTGTATCGATTTTCAAAAACGCAATATCGATTTTTTTTTTAGTTTACGTGCAAAAATATTCATACTATTGCCGTGGTTCGCGTTTATGTTGTGTTTAAATCCCTACCACTAGATGGCTAGAATGAGACGCACCACTAGTGTCCTCACCTACAGTGTCTATGATTTTGATTAATATGCGCGAGGGAGAGAGAGCAAGACAGCGCGCGTGTTGTTTGAAGACGTGAGAGTGCGCGCGCGCGGCCGGGGCGCTCTCTCTCTGTCTCTCTCTCTCTCTCTCTCTCTCTCTCTCTCTCTGCTCGTTTGCGTCCTGTCAAGCGCAGCAGTCTTTCTATTCTACATCACTCACCGATAAAAAAAGGCTTTGGCGGGACACAAATTTGTTTTGGCAGCCGCTAAAAAGCGGACGATTTGATGGGTTTTAAAAGATTAAATACAACCCGAAACTAAAAAACAGACCCCGCCTCTATTTGAGACTGGCCTTTATTTACCCAAACCTGTCGCCACTCGCCACATCAGGCGTGTAAAAGAGACCGGCGTCTATATGGGACTCGCTATTATTTGAAGTTTTACGGTATGTGATGGATGTACCCTGTATGAATAATAGTGCAAGCATTTTTTTAATGACAGATTGCCCCTCAGATTGCACCTTATGTGTTATGCATTATCCTAGATGTCACAGTAAGGGGCTATGTATTTTCTTTAACTGACTATTTATATATTTGTTCCTCAATGTTTCCTTTAGGAATTGGGGATATTCAAATTAATTAACCAATCATTAATACCATTGATCAGCCCTACCTAACGTGGATGTTTTTTCCACTAAGAAACAAACATTGTTATGTTATTTTGATTTATACTGTGAAGCTTTGATACAATTGTGAAAAGCGCTGTATAAATATACTTGACTTGACTTGAATTGTGTTCGTGTTTTTGCAACACAAAACGTGTTGGATGTACCCTGTGTACTAGGAATAGTGCAAGCATTTATTTATTTTTATTGACATAGACAGATGTCTTTTCTTTTTTCAGATTGCACACATGTGTGTATGTTATGTATTGTGACAGGGGCTATGTATTTTCTTTTATTAAGGCCTACTTGAGCATATACAAATTTGCTCACTAAGAACCTGTGAACCACAATCCCAAACTGGCAGTTTGATTTTCTGTGTACTGAATTGTTTATCTAAAGTAAACTTGTTTGAATTTTATGCACATCATGTCTTTTTTTTTAAATAATACTTTCTAAAATTGTAGTCCTACTTTAAAAAAATCGCAATATATCGCCTTATGCACAGTATCGAAATATATCGCAATATATTGAATCGTGACCCATGTATCGCGATACGTATCGTATCGCCAGATTCTTGCCAATACACAGCCCTATACAAAAGAGAAAACTAGGTCAGAGGAATATCACTGGAAAAAGAAGGGTTATGATCAGGCAAGAGCTTTAGGCACCACATTAATATTAGAAAAGCTTTTCAGTCCTGGTGAGACTTAAGCGGGAAGGCGTGAAAACAGACGGCAAGGTTGGTTCGCTTTATTTTTCGCAAAGCATTATTTAGCTTCACTTCAGTTCAGCTATAATGAAGAGACATCAACTCTTGCATTTCATGTTGTTAAATTTTGGGGGGCAGAGCAATGAAGTGTGGGGTGTGTTTGTATCGGTTGATTGTAAATATCAACCGTGTTTCATAGAAATCACTTGTTGCACCTTTAAAGGGATATAGTCCACCCAAACATGAAAAGATATTGAAAATATATTTTGAAGAAAGGGTAGACTATCCCTTTAAAGTTTGGACTTTATTGTTTAACTGATGTCTCTGTGGTGTTTATATGTATCAGTTAAAGAGATCAGTTAAAGGTATGTTTTTATTGGAAAATAATGGTATCATGGTTATAATAGGCACTTATAAGTTATAATGGAGTAAAGTTCCAAAGAATTTAAAAGCTGAAATGCTGAAATGTTAAGCTCGTGTTTTTGTTTTGTTAAAGCAATTACATGAACTCGTCCATAAAAGATGTAGATCATTTGAGAGGACCATTTTGTTTAGATTGACATTTTAGTGCTGGGAGTACTGCTGAACTTTAAATTCAGCTGCAAATGATGGCCAGGCAGGTCACGAATGAGTGAAATAAGGTTGTTTACACTTCACTTTGTCAAAGCTAATGTTTCTTTAGTCTTCTGATGTTAATTTGTTGCAGTCTGCTCTATAACACACACTCTGTCTCTTGGTTTTCCCAGGTGTCACTGGTCTGGTGCAGATTGATGAGAATGGAGACAGAGAGACTGATTTCGCCCTGTGGGACATGACTGACACGAACAGTGGCAACTTTCAGGTTAGTGATAATCTCATACTCAATTTGTCTCACAGTCACAGCTTTCTCATTTGTTTCTTTTTATTATTAACTTTTAGTCGGGGGAATTTTTCATTTTTTTAAAGGGCACGCATGGTTAATTCATAATACATGAGCCACATTAGTTTGAATAGCAATGATGCTTCTGTTAGTGATAGATGGATGAATTGCAATCACGTTTTTCTTACAGCAGGTGTGTGTGTGTGTGTGTGTGTGTGTGTGTGTGTGTGTGTGTGTGTGTGTGTGTGTGTGTGTGTGTGTGTGTGTGTGTGTGTGTGTGTGTGTGTGTGTGTGTGTGTCATCTAAACAGTTTTGCCTTTGTTACAGGCTAATGAATTAGAATATAACACCTGAATCTCAAAAAACAAAGGGGCAAATTGGTGGCTTAAATTTAAAACCAGAGGACAAACACACACACACACACCCTCCTTTCTGAAAGACACTTGATTGGTAATTGGGAGGCCAGGCTGTAGGGAGGTTAATTATAGGATACATATTCAGTCTGGGGAATGTTTTTTGTTCCTGTGAACGTGTACCGGATAGATGCTGAATAGATATTAAAGATCTCAGCTGCTCTCTGAATGTAAATTCTGTAATTTTTCATTTTAACATTTTGCTATTGCTATCTGTGAGAGCTATAGAATTCACATGACTAATGCAGTTTTTGTTCTCCTGTGTTAACGTCAAGGGGTCAAAGTCAAAGTTAGCACTGGCTGTTAGATGCCATAACTAAACTATCTGGACAAACTCTAGCATATTTCTGATATTCTGATGGAATAATTACTTTTCAATAAGTATTTTTTTTAATTCTTTATTTGATACAATACTAGTGCCCAATGCGGGCTCTTAGAAGTGTGAAATAGATTTTCTTTTAATAATATTTGATCAAAAATACAGTAATATATTGAAATGTTATTACGAGTTAAAATGTTTTCTATTTTAATATATTTTAAAATGTATTTCCATGATGTCAAAACTGGATTTTCAGCAGTCAATACTCCACTCTTTAGTCACATTATCCTTCAGAAATCATTCTAATATGAAGATTTGTTCCTCAAGAAACAACAAGAAACATCTTATTATTATCAGTGTTGAAAACAGTTGTGCTCCTTCATATTTTTGTGTGAAACCATGATGAATTTGTTTCAGCATTCTTCGATGAATAGAAAGTTCAAAAGGACATCATTCATTTCAAATAACAATCTTTTGAAACATTATAAATGTCTCTGCTTTCTCCTTGACCAATTTAATGTATCCTTGCTGAATAAAGAATTCATTCTCCTAAATAAATAATTAAATAAATTGACTGACCACAAACTTTTGAACGGTTGTTTAGATGTCCTTTGATCTATTAGACATGACCTAAAAGCCCCCCTAAAAAAAAATGGGGCTTTTAGGTATTGCAACAAGTCTAACATTGAACACTGCTGTTTTTCTTCCATTTTAGATTTTGAATTTATTAAATCATATGAATAGAATTATGTATCTCCATTATGACTGTTTGTTCTCTTATTGATTACTTCATGTTGTGCTGCAGATTGTGGCAGTGTATAACGGCACTCAGAAGCAGATGAAGATTCTTCCTGATATGGCCATCCAGTGGCCAGGTGGTGACATTCCCTTGGACATGCCCTACTGCGGCTTTAAGAACGACAACCCTGACTGTCATGAACGTAGGTAACTTACACTAGTTCTGCAGTCCAACTGCTAACCCACCTCACAATCTCTGTCACTTTTCCTCTTTCCTTTTAGGAACAATTGGAATGCACCAGATGATTTCCATCGTTCTTTTCCTCATCCTTGTCATCATCTTCACTGTGACTGTGTTTATATACAGGTAAGAGAGCAAGCAAGATGATTTTGATACCTGACACCTAATCAATCATTTCTAAATGTGATTCTGATTCTGTTCTACAAATATTGGTAAGCTATGTCTTAAAAACCTACTGTATGTACACACAGAAAGCTGAAGCTGGAGAAGGAGTTGGTTGCTCAGTTATGGAGGATCGCTTGGGAGGACATTCAGATGAGCAATCTGGAAAAGGCCCTGAGAAGCACCGGAAGCAAACTCACACTCTCTCTAGTAAAACACAGATACAGTACATTATACATACTATATACTAGTGCACACTCATATTTTTCAAATGTCTTTTCCAGCTCTCTGGTTTTCCATTTTAATATTAATTTTAATTCATTATTTATTATAATTACTATCATTATTATATCACTTGTTCTCTCTCATTCTCTTCAGAGAGGTTCAAACTATGGATCACTGCTGACAGCTGACGGTAATTTCCAGATGTTTGCTAAGACTGGCTACTTTAAGGTATCTTTCTAACAAGCTGTTTAAACGTTTAAATGGTAACCCTTCACAATAAGGTTCAATTTGGTATCTAACAATGATCAACATTATTCACAGCATTTATTATTTTTTAATAGGTTAAGGATCATTTAGAAATATTTAGTCATTGCCAGTTTATGTTTGTTCATCATATGTTTAATAATGTTAATTTATACAAGTTGAAACGTTAAAAATGTATGAGTAGCAATTTACATAAACCTACATTAAATTCTTAAACAGTATTTCATTGTCAGTTCATAATACCTAATGCATGGACTATTTATAATTCAAAATTTTACCATTTAAATGTTTGTTAGAACCTCAAAATGCACACATGCACTGCAAACATAACACGTGTGTGTGCGTGCTTATTTTTTCCCCAGGGAAACATTGTAGCCATTAAATACATCAACAGAAAGCGCATCGAGTTAACAAGGAAAGTGTTGTTTGAACTGAAGCATGTGAGTGTGTCATGCTGTTTTTTGCTCTAAAGGAGGATTATTTTGCCATTCTGATTATAATCATTACAAATACAATACCATTCAAAGTTTTGGGGTCAGTTAGATTTTTTTTCTTTTTAAAGAAATTAATACTTCTATTTAGTAAGGATGCTTTTATTAAATTGATCGAATTGATTGTATAATGTTTCAAAAGATTTCTATTTCTAATAAATGTTGTTCTTTTGAACCTTCTATTCATCAAAAAATCCTGAAAAAAATATATCACAGTTTCCTTAAAAAACATTAAGCAGCACAACCGTTTTCAACATTGATAATAATAAGAAATGGCTCTTGAGGACCGAATCATCATATTGGAATGATTTCCGAAGGGTCATGAGACACTGAAAACTGGAGTAGGCTAATGGAGTAATTTTATCGACCCTAAATTTTTTAAATGGTAATGTAGGTTCACAAAATACCAACAACTGGAGTATTTTGTTTATAAATGTTTGAAAAAATATACTGTGAATTGTGAACAATAGTGCATGTTTGTTCTTCAGATGAGAGATGTGCAGAATGAGCATTTGACTCGTTTTATCGGCGCCTGCATCGACCCGCCCAATATCTGCATCGTCACAGAATACTGCCCTCGAGGCAGCCTGCAGGTACTGACACATGATTCTGTCATTGTAGGGACTTCTCATTGACTTACTGTGCTAATGATGTTTTCTATCCTCTAACCCTAAGCTTCGCGATTTTTCTCTGCGTGAGAAAATGGATGTGTGGCGTGAGAGCAAACAACAAATGAAGCATAAACCGCCAGCAGCATGAATTTATTATGAATACATACATCACAACAGACATACAGTGCGGATCCACTTGTCCGTGCGACACTTCTGTCGCGACGCACTCCACTTTAGTCCTAGGCTACCAGACGCGACGCCGCGACACGCGATAAAATGTATCTTTTCCATGAGTGTTGGAAGCCGCGACATGCCTCGACATGCAATCTATTTTAGAAACGGTTTCTATTTTCTGCGACGTCGCGGCTGGAACAACAACAGAAAATATGAAAATTTCAGGTAGCCTACTGTTTATGTGCTTTATTTAAAGTTAAAAGCGTCCGTCTACGACAAGCGAGCTCGTATTACGGTGGCCGAGACAGCTCAACGCGCTGCAACTTAAGCAAACACATGCAAATAGAGAAAAACGCGTGCAAATAGAAAAAAACACATGCAAATAGAAAAAAAACGCGTGCAAATAGAAAAAAACACCAGCAAATAAAAAAAAACATCTTCATCAGTTTCACAACACACGTGTGCTCCAAATAAGGAAACGCGCTGCAAAAGTTCACAACACAACCAAATACAGAAAACACGCTGCAAATAACACAGACCACAAGGGAAATGTTTCCAGGGGAACCAAATAAGTGACGAACCCGGCTGAGCTTCCCTATGCCATACTCCCTTCGAAGGGCAGATTGCAGAGCCCTTTTGGAGTGAGCAAAGGCTCTAGTGTGCTGTTAGGCAGCCGTGTGGAGCGCACTTGATGAAGGGAGCAACTAAAGACAACGTGGGATGTTCCCATGACAACGCAGCACGGTGTCCATCAGCTGGTCTTACAACAGAAATATGATGCTGTTAACATAACGGATGCAAATACATTTTTATTTTTAGTTTACAAAAAAAGCTTTTAAAATATGCGTTATATATCTGTGTCTCAACTTTAAAATTTTGGACCCTACATTACCTAACATTTCTTACGAAACTTTTCTTTATGAAAATGTAATAACATGAAACAATTTGTACAGTGTAACTGATGTAACTTAGATAAATATCTTTCCTTCATGTTTTTCTTCTTTATCTTTTTTATTTATTTATTTTAGTTTCCAGCTCATTGTTCTTTTCTCATTTGTATTCTGATGACATTGAACATATTGTTAATACATTTTGTACATTGTATACAAGTTGTATGTCATAAAAAATGTAATCTCTGTATGTTTTGCACAAACAAATAAATAAATAAATAAAGTATAATTTTAAGCTGTAAGCACCAGCACGCATAGATTTATGGATATCTATGCCAGCCGATGCCAGCACGTCCCAGCCGGGTTCGTCACTTATTTGGTTCCCCTGGAAACATTTCCGTTGTGCTCTGTGTTATTTGCAGTGCGTTTATGTATTTGGTGGTGTTGTGAGTATTTGGAGCACACGTGTGTTGTGAAACTGATGATGTTTTCTTAATTTGCAGGGTTTTTTTTTATTTGCACGCGTTTTTTTCTATTTGCATGCGTTTTATTTTATTTGCATGTGTTTTTTTTTATTTGCACGCGTTGTTTTCTATTTGCATGTGTTTTCTTCTATTTGCATGCGTTTTCTTCAGTTGCAGCGCGTTGAGCTCTCTCGGCCACCGTATTGAATATCATTTTGTGTGTATTTTATAGCCGTAGCTACTGAAAGCAACAATTCACCTCAGATCTTCAAAATAAATAAAACTGAACGTTCAAACTGTCAACCCATTAACAGACAAGTGATTTGTTTTAGTAAGTGATTTGAACAAATTAGCCTACTTTAAATGTGTTTTGTTCCAATGATTCCCACATAAAGATTGATAGCCTAGGTACTTCACTTTTTAAATAATAGCTACCAACTCCAGTTACATTTTTTTCTTTAGTTTCTCATTTGCTTTATTCAAACCTGACCTTATAACTTAAAAAATGAAACTCTGCATGGAACTGTGTCGCGGGCATTTTAATGGGATAGGCCTACATGTGTCTGCTTTGACGAGCACAGCCTCTTGATATGGGGTTAGATCGATCGAGGATAGTGCAACTCATCGTGCTCCACTGACAGGCGCTGCCTTTTTGTTTTTCAAGTATGCCAGGGATGAGAACGCTAGCAAATCTTTGCCCTATCCTGTCAATCTCTGCGTGAAATATTGAGCGCGCACCAGTAACGTTACAGAGGGCCGAGCTGAGCGGAGCGGGCGATTTAAATTTTAAATATATCATTGTTGTTTCGCTTATTTATATTCGTTTGGACATGCTCATGTGTTGTTTTTATATATTTTTAAAATATATGCTATAAAAAAATTATATGGTAGGATAGTTATTTTAGGCTGTTTAAGTTGAAAAAAAGCTGAGATTCTGCAGCACCCCTAGCCAGTTGTCACGAGTAGCCCCAGAGTGCAGCAAAGTGCAGTCTGGACGATGGGGCGGGGCGACACTTTTAGGTGGGGCGACACGTGTCGCTCCGCCCACACCCGATTTTATTGGTTTATAATACAGCAATCTTATTGGCATAGACGCTTGAGGCACGAGCATGCGCATTCTTTTATGTACGAGTTTATGAATTATCTATGACGCTGTTTGGCCGTAGTACTATATTAAGTGATAACCATTGCGATTTCAGTAACGATCAATTGGATAATGTTTTGATGAACTTACGAATCAAGTTAGATGAAGTTACTGTCAAAATGTATTCACAATTCACATCGTTTCAAAGCAGCTTTACAAAAAGTCATATTGTAAGCTTTAATATTGAGCAGTTTTATGGCTTGGCGATATCATATGTTGCTGATAAATAATACACTGTTTGAGATTTAGCCTAGCTATACTATATTAATTTACCCTACAGATAAGTCAGTGCCACTTTTGGTGGGCAATGAGAATGACTGCATGAAATTACTGGCAGATCAAAGGAGAGATCATTTCTATGTGGGCTGATTTAGACAATATTTTTCCGCATGTCATGCAGAGCTCCTTAATCGTGCTTCTTCGTTTTTCCATTAGGATCAGTGAATAAACACAAACTCGGGATTTTGCACAAATTATGATAATTCCCTGTATTTCAGTAAAACAAAGGATAAATCCGAAAGTGTGTTTTATTTTATTTTTATATTTATTTTATTACAGCCTATTATAATTGCACAGATTTATAGCAGCGTGTTTTTTTATGGTTATGCAGCTAGCCTATATGTGAGTGTTAATATTTGTAACCATTTTTATCCAGTAGCCTACATGAACATGAACACGCAATGCGATGGGGGATGAATAAACAATTGGATTTTTAATATAGCCTGATGTCACAGTCACAGATAGGCTAGACAGTCGTACATAACCGGTTGACACACTTATTAGAAAACATGAATCTTTAAAAAATATAACATAAGGCTTTACAGAACCAATAGGCACTCATTTTGTATGAACAGGTAATCAACCAGGAAACGTGTTTGCCATTAAACATTTTATTTGCACTTTGTACCAAATAATGCAAGCATTGGACAATCTCGTTAAAAAAATGACAACAAAAAACGGTCATGCTTTAGAATTTAAAATCAGCTGCTTACATTCTTACAGTCAATTATCATCATTTGCGTAAAATCCCGAGTTTGTGCTGATCCATCGATCCTGATAGAAATATGAAGAAGCCAAGTGAATGACGCACTAATCTAATGTAAAACATCTCCCTGAAGTACAAGTAGCCTAACGTCACCAAGCGTTCGTTTTTAAACAATAACTTAATCTATACTGTGTCTTAAGTATAATAAAGTATTAGCCAATAGATATTAACAAAAATTACCATGGTAAACTGATAATAAGATACGATTAAAGTTAGCATTTAATTTTTCTTTGATACGGCCAATTCATTCACAAAATCGTACATTAAGGAATGCGCATGCTCAGACCTGAATCGTTTACACCAATAAGATTGCGGTATTATAAACCAATTAAATTGGGGGTGGGCGGAGCGACACGTGTAGCCCCGCCTAAAAGTGTCGCCCCGCCCCATCGTCCAGACTGCACTCTGGGGTACTACGTTGTCACGGCACCCACTTTGGGAACTACTGCCCTAGTGGTCCCCGGCCTTCAGTTGAGAACCACTGCATTATTAAGTTTGCCTTAAGTCCAAATACTTTTTGGGCCGTATGTATGTATGTATGTGTATATACACTTGCCTCAGTTTTTTCTGCATCTACGCACAGGACATTTTGGAGAACGAAAGCATCACACTTGACTGGATGTTCAAATATTCTCTAGTCAGTGACATAGTAAAGGTAGAGACCCTTCTCTGTACTTAAATTTACTGTACTAAAATTTACCTTAAAAGGTTAGTTTACCCCAAAATGAAAAAAATTGTCATCAATTTCTCATCCTCACGTTGTTCCAAAGCTATACAACTTTTGCTCATCTTCGAAACACAAATTAAGATATTTTGATGAAATCTGAGAGCTTTCTGACCCTCCATTGTCCACGCATCTATCACCTTGCAGCTTCAAAAAGTTCATAAAGAGATTGTAAAACGAATCCATATGAATGGAGTGGTTTAGTCCAAATTTTCTGAAGAGACTCAATCACTTAAAATGATGAACAGATTATTTTTTAGTTTTTTTTTTTCACATACAAACATTGATCAGCGAACATAAACAGTAGCTCAACCGTACTTGCTTGACGCACGACAACAAACCTATTGCGGAAGCTCAAACGTTCACACGAGAATGAACCTCATTGGTTCCCGCACGTCAAGGAAGCATGCTTGAGCTACCATTCATCATAACTGATGTGTGTGTTGATAAATGTTTATATGTGAATAAAAGCCAAAATTCAATCTGTACATCATATAAAGCGATCAAGTCTCTTCAGAAAATTCGGACTAAATTCATATGGATTAGGTTTACGATCTCCTAATGAACTTTTTGAAGCGTCAAAGTGGTAGTTAAGTGGAAAAATTACAGATTTCATTAAAAATATCTTCATTTGTGTTTCGAAGGTGAACGGGTTTGGAACGACATGAAGTTAAGTAAATGACAATTTTTTTTTTTTTTTGGGGTGAACTTTCCCTTTAAGTGTTCATCCATTTACTTATGATAACTTTCCATTTTCTCTCAATTTACTCCGTTCCTTCCCTCTTGCTTTCGCTCATGCTATCCAATCTTTTCTCTCCCCTCAGGGCATGACTTTCATCCATAACAGTGTGATTGTATCCCACGGCAACCTGAAGTCATCCAACTGTGTGGTTGACAATCGTTTTGTGCTAAAGATCACTGACTATGGGCTGTCCAGCATCAGGACAGAGTCAGACACGGAGGACGCCTACTCTTATTATGCACGTCAGTCATGTGACCTTTCTTCTTTGTCATTTCATGTGTCAAATTTACTCACATGCCTACAATTTCCACAACATGCATGCATGCAAACCTCAGTCACGGTCTCTGTTGTTCACTGTCAGTCCCCTGTCTGTGTCTGTGTGCATTTGGATATGCCTGTGTGTAGGTAAGCTGTGGACGGCTCCAGAGCTGTTGAGATTGGAGTGCTTTCCTCCAGGAGGCACGCAAAAGGCCGACATCTACAGTTTTGGCATCATACTTCAGGAAGTGGCTCTGCGCAGAGGAGTCTTTTACCTGGAGGGAGACTCGCTAAGCCCCAAAGGTCAGAGATCAAATCTTGCCAATACACGTGTCATAAACTACACAATTAGCCTAAGTCTACCTGTCTCTATTCTGTTTTTTATGTAAAATATATATTTTTTTACCCATACAATTAAAGTCAGTGTTGTTTTGGACCTCACAGAAGAAAGTCATACAGGTCTGGAACTATACAATCCTTTCAAGCTTCAAATAGGATGTAAAAGCATCATAAAAGCAATCGATTTGACTCATCCATATGACTATATTCCAGGTCCTCTGGTCATTTTATAGCTTTGTGTGAAGAACGGACTGAAATTTAAATTGTTATTCACTGATAATTCTTCTCTCCTGTAAACTGTTAACCAGATCATTAAGTCAGTACACCAGATCAGACCAATTCATGAATGAATTTTTGTGAACTGGACGAAGCGATTCATTGAAAACATCTGATTTAAAAGAACATTTTGTTAATGAATCAAGCATTAGTACTTCTCTCATGAACATGCCAAGGAGATCTAGAGCAAATGTCAAGATTTTTTGGTAAATAACAACCTTAGGCTGGCAGTTTTTTATTTATTTTTGCCTAGATTTATAGTCCAGGGGAGTCAACACTATTTGCCGGCCAGTCAGAGTTGACTGATTTGACAGAAAATTGCATAGTGTAAAGTGCACCCACTTTGGTTTTAGCATTTAGACTATGATTCCATCCAGTCGGAGGATTTTAAACATGTTTGATATTTTGAGCCAATTTTAGAACAGATTGTTTTCATTTGTCATGCGTATCCTAGCAACAAGATACCTTTGTTGAGTTTGGAAAAGCCTGAAAGCAGTGTCTGATCCTCAGTCGTTTATATGATGCCCAGTCGTGATGCCCTATGTTGTTTTGCCCAGTCTGCAAGTGTATGATGTCTAGCATTATCATTTTTGTTTAGAGTGTAAGTTATGTACATTTCAGTTTCTGTTTCATCTGTTTCTCACACAAAGCTATTATGGCTTCAGAACATCTGAAATATTGCTCACAAGTCGAACTGGACTGATGATTTTGTAGTACTTTCATGTTCTTTTTGAAGCTTGAAAGCCTTAGTTCTCATTGAATTGCCAATGGTAAAAGTCTGGTTTTATGTCTTCTCCATTTAATTAATAAATTAATGTCATTCATTTTATTCCTTTAATATCATTCATTTTGATTCTCCGTGAGATTTGGGGTCTGAAATACTTGGGGCATGAGAACAATTCGAGGATGATGAAAAACTTGGTTTTCTGCCTCTTTCTAAAACGCTTCAAAATATTGATGCACGGCTCTGCACTCGCGAAATTACTCTCGAGAGCCTTCACAGTGACAGGAATGAAAGACGCTAATGAACCAGGTTCTTCAGAGAGGTCAACAAATACACAACCAGACGCCATTCACAGTTGTGCTCACACACACACATACATATCGTCACATTCTCTCTTTACTACAGACACATCAAAGATGATCCTTTACACATACAGTATGAATGCATAAGAACACCCTCACAAGCTCTTAATTTGGCAGTCCACTACCCCTCTCAGTCCGCCGTCAGTGAGTTTGGCTGAAGAGGAAGACACTTGACATTATCTTGTCATTTCGCCAAAATACTCTCACAAATTGCAACCCCTGGCCTGTACATGGTTCTCTTTTTTTTCTGCAGAGAACAGCCCTTAGGTGGTGATGAGCTCTCTCATTCGTACATAGAAGGCAATCATAGTGTCAGACTTTTGCAATTGTATGATTTTACAGAGTTGCTAATTGCCATAAAATATAAAAATCACGATGTACTAAAATGTTGTTAAAGTAACGTTCCAAATCGTCTCCATTGCATCTATAATTTCAATCCACACTGAAGGAAAGAAAAGCTGTAAAAATCATTGTCTTTTTATATCACTTTCAGAGACACTAAAAGGTTTGTTTGTTCTTTGTCACACAAACACATACACACATATCCATCCACACTTGTCTCTTTCACTCTCTTTCCCTCTCTGATCTAATTTATGGATTTAATCATGTGATTCAGAATACAGCCCAAAAAGCGATGGGTCGGCATGTGTGTATATGTGTGTTTTTATGTGAAGAACAGACTCTTGGTACACATACAAACACAGATTATGTGCTGTCAGCATCTCTGGAGCGCGGGATCTCAGCACTATAATCAGAACTGACATAGAAGAAGAGATGATATCAATCTTCACCGGGCGGCACACATGCACTTGGGCACCTTGGTAATGAGATTACTGTTGGCAAAGATTATGGTTGTAGACTGGTGAATCAATCAACCTACTGTATGCTTGGCCAACCAATCAACCTGGCACCACCAGCACACATAAATACAAAACACAAACACAAAGAAATTGTGCAGCAGTAAAGATGACCTAAGCTTTGAAGAGCAGTTTCTTATCAGGACAGATTGTCCGTGAAAAGCCTCTCAGACGGAGCTGAGAAATGGTGTTTTTACTAGAGTGCTACAACCCACAGCCGTTTCTGCCAGGCTTTCAGAGCTGTAAGAGCCTGATGAATAGAGCTGAGAGAGATCAGGCATGGATGGAAAACGGAGATAAAACATTGTGGGAGTTTGTGGGAATAAGACAGACGGAAAATGCCCTGATGCAACAGATAATAGAGAGAAAAGGAAGGAAGGCGCATTGACAGGCAAAATGTCTAAAGACTGATACTGATACTTCATTTTACTGATACTGTTGAAGTTAAAGGAACAGTTCACCCCCCCCCAAAAATGCTTAATTTATGCTTAATTAAAGTCACAACATAATGGAAGTAGTGACCAATCTTTTCTTCCATATTTTTAAGGACATACAAGTGAAACAGATTATCGAAAAAAAAAAAAAATGTAGGGCTTGGGTTCAAGGGGTTAATCTCACAGTTGTTGATTTGATGGAGGCAGATCTGAATGCGAATTATCACATTTTAATTAAAAATTACAAGGTCAAAAAAAGAAGGAATCGCATGCATGGATTAATCGTTCACAATAAGATCAATAACATGTATTTAGAAAATAGACAGGTTGAATTTTCAAATTTAAAATTAGGAACTGATAAAATGGCCCAATATTAAAATTCAGTTTTATTTTGTCTTAATTAAAAAGAAAACACTATCAGTTGTTTTAATTGCTACAAGTGAATTTAGCCATCACAAATTTATAATGTACAATAAAACAATGAATATTCATTTTGATATTTGCTATTAAGATTACATTTACAGGGTTAAATTATTCGTGTTTTTAAAGATTAACTTTAAGGGTAGAGTTAGATGACGGCAAAGATAATATAAATGTAAAAATATGTTTTTGAGAGTGAGTAAATGATGACTGTATAATTTTGGGGGGATTTTCTGTTTCTTTAAGCTCAAGCATTCCCCTCTCTCTATTGTTCTTGCTCTCCGGCTTTCTTTGGTTGTGTATAGAGATCGTGGACCGTCTAGCTCTGGGTGAATGGCCGTATCTACGGCCATCAGTGAACCCTCAGTCCCATAGTGAAGAGCTGGGTCAGCTGATGCAGCGCTGTTGGGCTGAAGAACCATCAGACAGACCAGAGTTCAACCATATTAGTGTGTTACTCCGCAAACAAAATAGGTATGTCCCCTTTTACCCTCTAGTTTTGCCATCTATACTGCCTCACTTTACTTATTTCTGTAACATTTCGTTCTGAACAATGTTATAAAATGCGTCTTATTGCTCACTTATTATTAGGAACATTCACCCGACCCTGTCTCTTTCTCTGTCTCGCATTCTCTTTCTCAGGGAGCACAGAAGTAATATCTTGGATAATCTTTTGTCTCGAATGGAGCAGTATGCTAATAATCTGGAGGAGCTGGTAGAGGAGAGGACTCAAGCCTACCTGGAGGAGAAACGCAAGGCAGAAGCTTTACTGTACCAGATCCTCCCTCAGTCAGTTCACTGACATACTGCACAAATAATACATCAACCATAAAATAATCCTATACACACTTGGTTTACTCTCATAAGACTTGGTTTCTGTTGTGTTTGGTAGTTCAGTGGCAGACCAGCTGAAGAAGGGTGAGACAGTGCAGGCTGAAGCTTTTGACTCTGTCACCATTTACTTTAGTGATATTGTGGGCTTCACGGCCCTGTCAGCAGATAGCACACCTTTGCAGGTATCTTACACTAAAACAATTCTGCTTTGTTTTTAGTATTTGACCCTAAAGATTTTAAGCGTGTGTGTGTGTGTCTCTCTCATAGGTCGTCACCCTCCTCAATGACCTTTACACCTGCTTCGATGCCATTATAGACAATTTTGATGTTTACAAGGTATCACCGCCTCATACCTGACCCCATATTTGCCCTAGACAGCTGTATAACTGTATACAAAATCTTTTGTCAACAAATAATTGAACAAAGAACATTTTATTTGTTCTTCATTTTCATTTTTCTTCTAATATTTAAAAATTTTATCTTTCCAAACTTACTAACAAAAGTAAAACAAACATTTAAGTTTTATGATTTTATATAACATTTTTGGCAATAAATAAGCATCTTTTAATGGCCATATTCTTGAAGTGACATTTTGGTCATATGGTAAATTTGTAGTTTCTGTTTTATAACAGATCCCCAATTTTACCTTTTGCTTCTTAAAACCCTTTTAAAATTACCAGATATATATTTTTATTTCATTCTTTTTGTATTAAAATCGTATGGGACATTTTTTCTTTTTATAAAAGGGGGGGAAAGCCTCCACGAGGTACTTATTTAAAAAAAGAAAAAATAAGACAGTACTTAATTTGCACATTTTAAATCAATCTTAAATCCATTCTAATAGAAAATGTATGTATTGTCATTAAAATAAATGAAAAATATAGCCTATAGACCTTAGTCAGGGTACACTATCGTTTGGCAAGATTTTATTTTTTTTATGTTTTTGAAAGATTTGATCAACAACATTCTAATTTATTGAACCCAATATACTTCTATCCCTCACAGCCTCGTTTTCATTCCTGGCAAAAATTAAATATGGTGCTACTCTTACTAAGTTCTATTCACCTGTACATTCACTGAATTAAACTAGAAACATCCTCAATTTTAACAGTGAATTATTATTAAGGTTTTTTTTATACATACAAATCTAACCCCTGGTTTCACAGACAAGGCTTAAGCCTAGTCCCAGATGAAAATGCATGTTTCAACTGAAAGCAACTTACACTGGCATATCTTAAAATAAGTCAGTGCCATTGTTTTGTCTCAAGATGCACACCACCAGTAATGTTTTTTTTCTAAGGCATGTTTATAAAAGCTACTTAAATGCCCCAATTGAACTAAGGCCTAATCTTGGCTTAATCTAAGCCCTGTCTGTAAAACCGGGCCTACGTGTATTAGTCTTGTGTTTTGTGCTGATGTGGATCTCTGTCTGCTGTGGTGGTTTTGTTTCTAATTGTTCCTTAGGTGGAGACAATAGGAGATGCCTACATGGTGGTTTCAGGATTGCCAGTACGTAACGGGAAACTACATGGTCATGAGATCGCACGCATGTCGCTTGCTCTGCTGGAGACTGTTAAAACATTTAAGATTCGCCACCGACCTGATGAGCAGCTCAAATTACGAATCGGCCTTCACAGTGGTGAGAATGAACGCATCACTCTTAGTTAGGTTGAACTAGTCTTTAACATGCTGTTGGACTATTTAAATTAGCAGAAAACTGACAAGGATTCTTCTGGTTGTAATAAGTTTTGTTAACATATAATCGCTATCTATTACAGACATTTCTCAAACTCACCCATAGACTAGAGAATTTTTACATTAACATGCATAGTTTTGAACAGCATTTCCATGTGTATGTGTGTTTCAGGCCCTGTCTGTGCAGGAGTAGTTGGGCTGAAGATGCCTCGGTACTGTCTCTTTGGAGACACAGTAAACACATCCTCTCGCATGGAGTCAAATGGAGAACGTAAGGACTTACTGTTCCCATTCCCACCAAATAGCAACTTGTGCATATAACCATAGCAAGAGTTCAGGTCAGTTAGGTTAGGGTTAGTGGTTTGAGCCATGCATTATACTACATTACTACATACTACGGCATTATACTAAGGGTATGAGACAAGAACTAAAGAAATACTGAGTGTGTTTAATTTCTATAATAGATTTGAAGTATAGAATTGTAAAAATATCCAATCAAAAGTTTCCATCGGTTCAATTCATTTCTGCAGACCACACTGAGATTACTACAAATATTCCCCTGGTTTCAGAGACAAGGCTTTAACCTAGTCCCAGACTAAAATGCATGTTTGAGCTGTTTTAACTGAAAGCAACTTGCACTGACATATCTTTAAATATGTCAGCGCCATTGTTTTGTCTCAAGATGCACACCAGTGATGGTTTTTTTTCTAAGGAACGTTTTATAAAAGCTACTTAAATGCCCTGATTGAACTAAGGCCTAATCCTGGCTTAATCTAAGCCCTGTCTGTGAAACCAAGCCCTTAAAAATGATCATTTTTAGTATTAGCCTTAGGCTATCAGACGCATTTAATTTTCAACACCAATATTCCATAATGAAATTATCAATCATTCAAGAAGCCTAAACAAAAACATTTGATGAAAAGATTTCATTGTAATTCAGATTTAATTATTTCCCCCACCACCTGTTTCCCCACATAAACGCTGCCAGATAAATGAGAAATATCAGCCGGCTTTAGATAACACTTGACAAAAGCAAAACAAATTGCAATCAGGAAAGACATTCATTTTGAGTAGATTGAGTAGATATATCACAATCCATACATCACACCTGCCTTGATCATCACAATCCTGGTTGATACTTTGTACAGTGGGGGTTTTACTGCACACTGTGGCATTTATGTGCATTTCCAGTATCAGGACGCTGCTCAAGTATGTCCCTAATTTAAAAAAATTATTGTTAACAATTTTTTTTTTTTAATTGTTAATTGAAATAAAGCTGATATATAAACATTACATGACAACCTTAACATGAAATACTATGACAATTAAAAATGTTTTCTATGGAAGTAAAATAATGCCAAATGTTTTTTAAAACAATAAAGCCTGTTGAATTGCACTACTTGAAAAAAAAAAAGGCATTGCATTAACCATGCTTCCATTTTAATTCATTGTATTTTTAGGTCTTGCATTTTTATGGGCTGAAATTCAACATGGTTGAAAATTTAAGCTGTGTATTTCATTATTAAAAATTCAATAATCCATATTCAAACTGTTTAAAAATATAACCTATAATATCCAACAGGCAATTTTCGGTCCATTTTATTTCGCTTTGCAAATTCGCTTCCACAAATTCAGTGGTTCAAATTCGACAGTAAATTCAATGTTGACATCCAGGAACTGCGAGAAAAGCAGTAGATTACCGAGCATAATCTCCATCTGCTGTTAGTCGACCTCACCAGCAGGGGGTGCAAGCGCGTGTTGATGACGAAGACCAGAGCAACAGTTAGAGCAACCCATTCATTTATAAAAACTCATTTACAGCAATGTAAGTGTATTTGTGATTATTATGAAAGCTGTGTTTTATGTTAAATTAAGTGTCTTCACGGTTATTTTTTCTGTGTAGCCTACATGCATCGACCAATGTTGAACTTCTTAGACATTCCAAGACCCAACAAACCCGATTCAACATATTCAATTGGCAAAAACAAGTGCAAACCAATGCGAATTGGCCTGAACTGAATTTAAATAATTTTAAATTGTAGTAGTAAATTGACTAAAACTAAAAAAATTCAAAAAATGACAAGCGCGTAACGAAAATTTTAACTAAAATGAAAACTGAAAACATAAGCATAAAAGCTAATTCAAAAATATTAATAAATATAGCAATACAAATAATTGGCTCTTTGAATTACCTACTGCTGGAAATTACATGAGTAAATGTTTTCCAACACACTTTAGTCAACATGTTGATGTGAGCTGTGTGATCTCAACTAATCCGTATATAACACTGTAATCATTTACACGCTGTTATCCTGCAGCTCTGAAGATTCATGTGTCGTCAGCCACTCGAGATGTGCTGCAGGAGTTCAACTGCTTCCAGCTGGAGCTGAGAGGAGATGTGGAGATGAAGGGAAAAGGGAAGATGACGACCTACTGGCTTCTGGGGGAAATGAAGGACAGTGATTGAGATGGTGGGGAGTGAGAGTCTAAAGCCCCAACGGGATCAGCAGAGACACTCTGACTCTAGTCAAATGCACCCAGGGGAACCAAGCCAAGACTGTTGGGCGCCGGTTCTGTTGGCCAAATGCACTCGCATGTAATCCTGTACAGCACTAGATGATGTCTGACCTTGTATATATGTACTTTAAGATGTTTCTTTTGTAAGAGCACCAGCTGCAGCTGTAAATGGAGTGAAGGTTGAGTGTGATTGAATATCGCCCCCTGGTGGATAAGTAGCAGCACTGCTGGCTTAAAATACAGTAGGCTAAATAAATATGATTACTTCCACCCAGGGTGTGTGTGAGAAAAGACATGTAAATATTAAAGATGATGATGTTATTACTCATAATTTAACTCGCCCCCCAAAAAATCACTTGGCTTTCATAATTCAAATGTTTTGAAGACAAATCACTTATTTACTATTTTGTCATTTATTTCATTTAAGTAATATTTATAGATTCTTATATTCCAAATAATTTTTATCACCCAGTCGGACTCTTGCACACATATACATTCTTCCTTAAGCCATTTAGACGCATTGCTCTCTGGTTTATGATTGTTATTGATGTTTTTGGTGTAATTGATGCAATTTCGTGAGCCAAGCAGAGCTACAGCAGCTTTAATAAAGCATAAATAAAATCAACCTGCTAACAGATCCGTAACATCACTCAGTTTGATTTTAGATCATTTTCCCAGCTTTTTCCTTATACACGCACAGGTGTGTTTTATGGGAGATTGACACAGAATTTATTCTTTATCAAAGATCATCTATGAGAAGCACTTTGCCTTTGTATTATTTTACATGCTTGAATGTTTACATACTTTCTCTGCCTTTTTATTTGTTTCATAGTCAGTAAAGCGAAATGGTTCTAATGGTATAGAGTCTATCAAAATTACTAATGCACCACATTCATATAGAAGCTGACATTCATTTCTGACTGCAATCAAGATCTGTATCCTTTTAAAATCATCTTTTAATTTCTTATATTCTCTTGAGAGTCTACATAAGTACCTGCCTGACATTTCAATGACTTATAACCAACTTGAGTGGATTCTCTCACTGATTTCAGATTGTCATTCCCATGAGCACTTAAAGGTGACACTTTTGAGAGTGCAGAGAGAGACTCTTAATAACTGCTCCTTTAACATTATCTCAGTTCAGTCATGACAACTCTGAGAGATTGGCATGGTAATGGATATGGCAATGCTAATGTATTTTGTCTTGGTGGAATAGATCTGCTGCTACTGCAGAGCAAGTAAAGACTTGCTACTAATACATATACAGACATTCTGCTGCTGCACAAATACATGAAATAACCCTGCAGCAGATCTATACAGGAGGAGCTGGGGAAGGTGGAGGGTTTCTGTAAGCACGCTGCAGACTGCTAACAGCAAACACTACCAGTATTTGAATGTTGAGCCGCAGCTGATGCAGCAGCAACCAATCAGCTGCGTAATGTAGATAATATCAATGACTTGAAGATAGTTAACTCCACATCAGCTAAATAAATTCATCAATTAACCTTTCAGAAACGTCCGGTTGCATTCTACATGTTGTCACTTCTTCTTGAGTCTCTCCATCATTGTCTGACTCTGGTTTGAACATAAAAGGCAGAATAGTTTCTGACATTTTAGTGCGTGTCTGCAAGCTGCTAAGAATGAGATGTTGTTTGCTACGCCCTCTGTGCCAGCTCACACACACATGCGTTTTTGCTCACCCTCAAAAAGGGACAATTTTAACATGCTAATTTTTTTGTTAATCTGTGGTGTATTTTGAGCTAAAATTTTACTACACATCTTGGGACATCATAGACTTATTTTACATCTTGTAAAAAGGGGCATTTTATACCACATGCACCTTTAAACCCCATATAATATCCAATGATTTCATTAAACTGTTAAGCACTAATGATATTTAAACTTCATATGATATCAAGAGGCACTGTTATGAAAGGCTCAAGTTCGATTTCTGCCTAATGTTTTTCCTCTGATTCCCACTGCTGTGCTATATTCAGCATTCCACGGTTAGTCCACATATGATTTTTTTTTTAGCAATTAATATTCATTTTAGCACATATAGAAACTCATGTGCAGACATAGAAGAAAAAAAAACATTAGCTTTATATTTTAATGAATCATTTCTCATCAGTTTGCACTAAAATCAAAAGAGACAATCAAGGGAACAATATTTATTCCTTAATACATAACAGTGTACATAATGAGTTGTGTTATATTGAATACATAGCCTATACATCAATATAGGCTACTAATTTATGTATTTGAATAAGATTATAGTGTATTGGTCATTCCTCAACATATTCCAACACTCTTAAAAAATAATTAGGTTCTTCATTGACATCCATGGTTCCATGAAGAGCCTTTAGCATCTATGGAAGTGGAACCTTTCAAATGTAAAAGGTTCTTAAGATTATTAAAATGTTGTTTATACTAAGAAAAAAAAAAGAAGGTTATTTTAAGAACTGTTCACTGAAAGGTTATTCTATGGCACAACAATGGTTGTTATCTGATGTCCATATAAAAAAATGTTTACAACCACAATGTTTCTTTTACAGTTTTAACAGATGTTTTATTGTAAAATAGTAGATTTAAAGTCACACCAGATGTGTTGAATTGTCCAATCTGTGACCTTTGAGGTTCTGCGTCTGAGATACACAGATGTGATTGTTATTTAGCCTCTATGTCCAGTTTCTGTAGGACATTACTTCACCGAGACCAGGGAAACTTAGGTAAACATTTACGTAAAAATCCATAGCTGAGGTGGTGAGCAGGTCTCAGTTCTGAACAGTCACATGAATCATGCAGCAGCTGCAGAGGAGCATCACCAGCAGTTTTCACGTTTCTAACCTGTGAGAAAGAATAATAAGAGTGAGATTGATTCTTTGATTTCACAGGACCATGTGCATGTTCTGCATTGTTGAGACATTCCTCAAATGCATTTTCTTCGAAAAACAACGATTCCCTTCTGCGTACGCTCGGACTTTCAGCAAGTGTCAGAAAGCCATACGGAGTGGTGATTTTGCTGAGGTGAGGTAAGGACATTGCTGCGCTGGTGGTCGGGTCTGACAGAACGTAAGTCTGGAGATCATCCATGAAGACCAGGTCGCGCTCCTCTGAGAACGGGCAGCAGCGCGCGAGTGCTCGGACAAATGATGATGGGTGCGTGGTGGACCGGGGGAAAGTGTGCCGCCGTCCGTGCCCGACTCCAGCCTTCTCCCTGCCTTCTCCCTGCCTAGCCGGGCACAGTGAGGGGATGGTGAACTCCGGTACACTCGCAGGTGTCACCACCATATTCCTAAGAGGCACCTGCCTCGTTGCGGCCGGTTGAATCTCCCGAGAACTTGATTGCCACGATTTTTCTCGCTTAGGAGTTGCAAAATCACGAGCTGGACGATTTCTGCTCATTGTTGTTCACATATGGCATAACTTTCAGCAGGGTAATTGTTTGTAAATAATATTTTCCGTTGAGCCAAATATTTTTTCCCTATCTGAGCTTTCTGGTTGTTGGTGGTATTTTTTCTGCAACTTTCCTAAAACTTTTAGCTGCTTATGGAAGTCTAGATTAAGTCTTGCTCTGCTGCAGTGCAGAACAAAAACGAAAAACTTAAGTGGCAACTGATTCTGAAGGTAAATATAGCCTACAGTCCCAACTATAATTGACTCCTCCCAGTATGATCATTATTATTTTTTTCAGTAGGGAAGACAATTTAGCCTGTTAAACAGCATGTTCTCTTTTTAACCTCTTAAGTGTCGCGCCCCCTTTTTTGAATACACATGAAATGCACAATCCGAATTTAAATGGTTGTAATTCTAGACTGCTTTGGAATATAGATGGAAGATTGGTCTTGTTTTAAAGAAGACATTTGGCAGATTTTTGCAGAAGTTAAATAAATTAAGAAAGTGAAACAGAAAAAAAGTTATACAAGTTTGAGTTTATGAAAATGTAAAAATGTAATTATTCATATTTTATATAAAATATATTTTTTCAAAACCTGATGGACTCTAAAACTGCAAGAAAATCAAAGCCAAAACTCTGAACTAGTTGTGTTTAAAATTTTATGTTGATATCTCAAAAATGAGCTTTCAGTAAGATTTTGTTTGGGCGCAGTACCAAACTTTTTCACTAGATGGCAACCAGACTGCCCATATAAGGGCGCCTCCATTTCCATATGCGTTTTGAGTGATCTGAACCATTATATCCACAATTTTCATACAATTTATGAAGTAGGCATCCTATTCAGAAGTAGTAAGGGAAGTTTGGCATATTTTATATGAATTCAACCTCAATAATCACATAAAAATAACATGCATGTGCGTTATAGCTCGCTGCCACCTCATAAATGGTGAATCTATCATTTTTTCTTTATATTTAAAAAATTGTCACACCTTTTTTTCTAAAAAAAAAAATCAATGGATGTTATCTTTTGAACTATTGGCATGAAAACAAACTGAGGTTTCTACCATTCCTTCATGATGTTCATGTTCAGCACTATTTCAAAATAAAGGTCTGAACACGCTGAACACAGTATGAAAATATTATTGTCGCAAATTGATAGATTACGGCTCTTCTGTAATTTATTTTGAAAATCAAGCACCAAATATGAAAACAACAGATTGTAAGCTTTCAAATGATATATAGTTTGTCAATATTAGTTTAGGTTTAGTATAGGATATTACTGTTTTAAATATGTAATAGCTATGGGCAACTTAATTAAGATCTGTTAACCTCATGTGGTGTTCGGGTCAATTTGACCCGGAGAAGATTTTCTTTTTCCCGAAAATACTAGTTAATGTTGTCGCTTTGGACTGAAACTTAGTGACTTTGTTCCCAAACAGTATTACTAAATCTCAGTGTTTTTTTGAAAATTTTCTTATTTTTTTGTGGGAGTATTGTTACCTTGTTACACTTGTGGTGTTCCCGGTCAAAAATGACCGGCCTATAAAAAATAGCTTATAAGTCACTCATTATACCATATTTTCACCCAATCTTGGATTCAATCTTTTTGTCAACTTGTTCTCTTTCAATTAGGACTGGTTTTATATTTCTGTTTGAATCTGATTAATCGTGGGCCTCATTTGTCTGAGAGTAGGCATCTCATTTTTTGAGTGAAAAACAAATAATTTATGAGTAAATTTGGAAATATGAAAAAAAAATATGGAAAAAATGGCTACGGTTGATCACACTAGTCTACTCTAATGTTTCACCAGGAATTTTGTTTTGAAACTTTTGTTTTGTAAAAAATATGGCACATAGTCACACTTGTGGTGTTCCCGGTCAAAAATGACCGGCCTATAAAAAATAGCTTATAAATCATTCATTATACCATATTTTCACCCAATCTTGGATTCAATCTTTTTGTCAACTTGTTCTCTTTCAATTAGGACTGGTTTTATATTTCTGTTTGCATCTGATTAATCGTGGGCCTCATTTATCTGAGAGTGGGCATCTAATTTTTTGAGTAAAAAACAAATAATTTATGAGTAAATTTGGAAATATGAAAAAAAAATATGAAAAAAATGGCTACTGTTAATCACACTAGTCTACTCTAATGTTTCACCAGGAATTTTGTTTTAAAACTTTTGCTTTGTAAAAAATATGGCACATAGTCACACTTGTGGTGTTCCCGGTCAAAAATGACCGGCCTATAAAAAATAGCTTATAAATCACTCATAATACCATATTTTCACCCAATCTTGGATTCAATCTTTTTGTCAACTTGTTCTCTTTCAATTAGGACTGGTTTTATATTTCTGTTTGCATCTGAATAATCGTGGGCCTCATTTATCTGAGAGTAGGCATGGTCAAAAATGGTCACAATGGCCGACCATTGAAAGTGAATGGGAGAGACTGAAAATAACAGAACAATTTAGTTTTCAGGAGCATTTTCATTATTTTCATGTACACATATGAGCATGTGTGCTTGCAAACATTGAGCCCTTGGACCTGTGCATGTATCGATACATTTATACACACGCTACCCAGACACACACACGTTAAAACACACAAACTTTTTTGAGTATTACACACATTCTTTTCCACAGAGAGAAATTTGATCCTACCCTAACCTGCATCTAATATACATTTATCCATCTGACATTACCACACACACACACACACACACACACACACACACACAAACTGGCCGTGACTGCAGTGACCCGGCTTCAAAAGAATCTTTCTTTCATGGTCTTGTTTCATCACAGCTTCCACACAAAATATTATGACATTTTGTTTTGGAACTGTGAGGTTCTCACACAGAACTAGACAATATTTACAAATATACATCATGTGATAGCACAGGCATATATAAAATGCCTCACAGCATTTTGCTTGTCATTCATTTGTGGCAGCACAATGGCAAAACAGCTCTGCACATGATGTTATTCATCAGATTTTTGACTCAGAAACTAGTGAGGAGGAGGACATGCAGGATGCATCTTGCAGTGAAGATGTTTCTGAAGAGGAAGGCCTTCAGAAGAAAACCTGCCTTGCCTCATAGGTGGGGATGAAGGCCAGGACAAAGTTCCATCTTTTGACCAGAATGAAACGGTAACCTCAGCTGGGCCCTCATCACTGGAAGACTGCTCCTCATCAGTTGTTTCAAGCTCCGTAGCCGATTCAGTGGTGCCTTCCTCTTCAGAAACATCTTCACTGCAAGATGCATCCTGAATTTCCTCCTCCTCACTAGTTTCTGAGTCAAAAGTCTGATCACGGCCTGTGTGTGTGTGTGTGTGTGTGTGTGTGTGGTAATGTCAGATGGATAAATGTATATTAGATGCAGGTTAGGGTAGGATCAAATTTCTCTCTGTGGAAAAGAATGTGTGTAATATTTTAAAAAGTTTGTGTGTTTTAACATGTGTATGTCTGGGTAGCGTGTGTATAAATGTATCGATACATGCACAGGTCCAAGGGCTCGATGTTTGCAAGCACACATGCTCATATGTGTACATGAAAATAATGAACATGCTCCTGAAAACTAAATTGTTCTGTTATTTTCAGTCTCTCCCATTCACTTTCAATGGTCGGCCATTGTGACCATTTTTGACCATGCCTACTCTCAGATGAATGAGGCCCACGATTATTCAGATGCAAACAGAAATATAAAACCAGTCCTAATTGAAAGAGAACAAGTTGCCAAAAAGATTGAATCCAAGATTGGGTGAAAATATGGTATAATGAGTGACTTATAAGCTATTTTATATAGGCCGGTCATTTTTGACCGGGAACACCACAAGTGTGACTATGTGCCATATTTTTTACAAAACAAAAGTTTCAAAACAAAATTCCTGGTGAAACATTAGAGTAGACAAGTGTGATAAACAGTAGCCATTTTTTTCATTTTTTTTTTTCATATTTCCAAATTTACTCATAAATTATTTGTTTTTTACTCAAAAAATGAGATGCCTACTCTCAGACAAATGAGGCCCACGATTAATCAGATGCAAACAGAAATATAAAACCAGTCCTAATTGAAAGAGAACAAGTTGACAAAAAGATTGAATCCAAGATTGGGTGAAAATATGGTATAATGAGTGACTTATAAGCTATTTTTTATAGGCCGGTCATTTTTGACCGGGAACACCACAAGTGTGACTATGTGCCATATTTTTTACAAAACAAAAGTTTCAAAACAAAATTCCTGGTGAAAATGTTAAGTTGACTAGTGTGATCAACAATACCAATTTTCTTCAGATTTTATTTAATATTTCCAAAATTATTCAAAAATTTTAAAAAAATTACTCAAAAAATGAAATGCCTACTCTCAAATAAATGAGGCCTATGATTATTCAGATGCAAATCAAAATATAAAACCAGTCCTAATTGAAAGAGAACATGTTGACAAAAAGATTGAATCCAAGATTGGGTGAAAATATGGTATAATGAGTGATTTATAAGGTTTTTTTTATGGCCCGGTCATTTTTGACCGGGAACACCACAGGTGTTATAGGGTTTTGAACACCACATGAGGGTTAAACAAATCTGAATCTGAATTTGTATTTATTTATTTATGTATTTATTTGATTTTATTTCTATGGCTCTTTTACCTCCCTTTTATCTGGCTGCAGGAGTGCTCTATTTATTTTTTTCAAAGCGTCACAATTTTAATATTTCTTTTGTTGCAAAACGCTATTTAAAAAAAAATTTGTTTAGTTTTATTCAAAATATTTACAAATATTGTTGAAAGACTCGTGGTTTTGTACTGTGGCTGTCAGCGCTAATGAGATGTGGGAACGGTTTGTCATCGCCTCCGTTTGTGAGGGAAGGAAATGACCGCAACACCCGCCGTTTGTTGTGAAGCGGCGGGCTAGTGTGTATAAATCTACCGATGGCTGCAAACACTTGTTCGTGGGTAAGATAGATGTTTACATTATGAAATGTGAACAGAAAGAAATATCATCCTTGCGTGGCACAAATATAAACTATTTACGAGTGCCGTGTTTTGCTTAGGGGCGCAATGCTAACTTCAGTTAGCAAATAAGCTAGCAGCAGAAGATACAATCCTACAGATTCACTGTTTGTGATCTCTATAATTGATTAACAATGAATTATAAATAAAACACACACATTTTTTACTGTGTACATTGTCCTGTTGTACCAGAAATCATTTTACTGAACGTAAACAAAAGACTGTCTTTATAATTTATTGGTCTATGTTTCATACTAGTGAGCTGTCTAGGTAGGCGACTCACTGGGTTTTGATACACAACCAGAAATAATGTTGTTCTGTTATAGTTTTCCTTATCTGACTGATAATTTTTTATATATATAATTGCTTGAATAAAGACTGTTAAGGATTAGTTGGAAGACATCAGTTTGGATCTTTTTCTTAAACTGTGATTTAAGGCTCAGAGATCGATTGAACATGGGGTGGAAACGCAAGTCGTCATCTCCAGAACTACAACTGAATCCTGCCAAAGCACCTAAGAGGGAATCTATCTGCAGATCTCCTTTCTCTCTCAAACCGTCTCCTAGTTCCTGGAGAAGGACGGTCTCCACCCCCATTAAGACGAAGTCAATACAGACTCCAGATCAATCCAATTGCCAGGAGCAGAACTCCAGCCCAGGTAATGCAGAAATGAGCAGTATTCCTTGAGGGAAGTTAATAGCAGAACTTGATATTTGTTTTTTTTTTCTCTGTGTGTGGGCAGACCATGGTGAGGATGATGCTGACAGTGTCCATGACTCCACTCCAGTTTCATCCCCCCTGCAGTCAGAGGTGGATGCAGAGCTGGGTCTGGTCATCACTGTGGGTGAGTCAGCACATTTGGCCTTGTTATTAACCACACTTGATTTTGTAATGTTACTTGTCAAGTCAAACATCACTATTGTATTTAGGAGTTTTCCAAAATCTGAATGAAGTCTCATTGCTTGCCAATCCTTAGATGAGGACAGGTGTGAAGGAGAGGAGTGGCTGAAGAAACGAAATAGATTGAATGTAAAGAAGAGTGGAATGACTCGGGTGGAAGTAGAGTTCCCTGAGAAGAATGGAGAGATGGATACGTCTTCAGAAGAGCTTGAGGAAGAGGATGAGAGTGAGGAAGAGTTGAGGAAGCTGGACAGAGATTTAATGCTAAAATCTAAAAAACTCAAGCTCTCCTCTGTCAACGTTCGTAACATCATTCATGTGAGTCTGACTTAAACAAGATGCAAGTTCCTTTAAGATTCTGTGTTCTTGAAAATGTTATCAAATGCTGTCACATTTTACTAAATAAGACTGGGACGAGACACCTATCCCCCGATTCGATACTATCACAATACTTGGGTGCCGATACAATATGTATTGCAATTTTTCTTTTAAGAATTGCGATTCTACAAGTATTGCGATTCGATATTGCAAAATATTGAGATTTTTTCACATTTCACATGACACATTTCATCCTCTGTTGGAACAAAAGTGGCTAACTTCTGTCAACCTAATCTATAAGCAAGGACAAAAATAAAGCAATTTAATTTGAATTAATATCGATTCTGTAATAAAAAAATCTATTTTAAAATCGGAAAAAAAAAAAGGTTTTAAATCGCGATAGCTAGGTGAATCGATTTTTTTCTCCCAGCCCTATTACTAAATCACTATGATCTGAGCTTATTCTCTGAATCTTCAAGAAAACAACATCATTGTAAGGAAACGCTACCATCAAATTGGTAGTAATTTGACTATTTAATAACATATTTTTTTTGTGTTTGACCTCAGGAGGTGGTAACCAATGAGCATGTTGTGGCCATGATGAAAGCGGCTATAAGAGACACACAAGATATGCCCATGTTTGTAAGTTCCTTCTATATTTAACTCTTACAGTTAAAGTCTATTTGAACATAAAAATTTCAGTTGATTATATTTATTTTCTGTTTAATGTAGGAGCCTAAAATGACCCGTTCTAAGCTCAAAGAAGTTGTTGAGAAAGGGGTGGTGAGTGTTGTTTTTCTTATTAGGAAGGTTTGAGAATTTTAGCTCTTTTATGTGTGAGTTAAAATAATTGCTGAATTTTTATATATTTTATATTTTAGGGGATGTGCAACTGGAACATCTCTCCAATAAAAAGGCCATGTCAGATTAAGGTATCAAATGGTTGTGATGTATCACTTGTGAGAGTTCGAATTGTTTTTTGGTTGATGTACCTTGCTATTTGAACTCTTTTCTTAGCCACCCCAGTTTGTGGACATTCCCCTGCAAGAGGAGGAGGACTCCTCTGATGAAGAGTATTGTCCTGATGAAGATGAGGAAGATGAAACGGCTGAGGAGGTGCATATACCACACTCACATCATACTTTACATTTTTAAAAAATATATTATTCAAATACCATGGTACAAAATGTTGGGCTTTTGACTAAAAAGATTTATATTTCAAATAAATTAGGTTATTTTGAACTGTTCAAAAAAATTGAAACAACCATTACCATATAACAAATGTTACTGCACTTCCTAAAACTTTCTAGAACTGTTTAGAACTTTCTGGAACTTTCTGGAATTTTCTAGAACTGTTTTTCCACAACAATCCAAATCTTGGTATACATATACATAGGAGAGAGAGAGGGAGGGAGCTTTATGAGTAAACAACTCAACTTGATACTTTTTTATATTTATTTCAGTAGCAATATATAATGTCACACAAGATAAGTGATACTACCTTACAGAAGAACAAGGCTATCTGGACCAATAATCTAGTGAGATGTCAGCAATCACATAGAAGAATAGGAAGTGTGCCTTTTTAGAAGAACCTTCACTTGAAGAAAAGTGCAGAATGCCACTCCAAATGCAAATTATTGGACGGTACCTGTTTCTTGGAGCAGAAATCAAATTTGAAAATTGCTACTAAAACAAATATCAATAAGTATCAAGTTGAGTAATTTGCTCATAAAGCTCACTCTCTCTCTGTCCCTCTCTCCTATATATATATATATATGTGTGTGTATAGGAGAGAAAGAAAGTTCAGTCCTAGAAAGTTCCGATTCCAATTTTGCACTTAAAGGATTAGTTCACCTCAAAATGAAAATTTCCTGATAATTTACTCACCCCAATGCCATCCAAGATGTTCATGTCTTTCTTTCTTCAGTGGAAAAGAAATTAAGTTTTTTGAGGAAAATATTTCAGGATTTTTCTCCACACAATGGACTTCAAGTGTAACCAACATGTTGAAGTCCAAATCAATGCAGTTTCAAAGGGCTTTGAAGTGCTTCAAACGGCTCTGCACGTTCCCAGCTGAGGAATCGGGTCTTATCTAGCGAAACGATCGGTCATTTTCTAAAAAAAAAAAAAACATTTATATACTTTTTAACCACAATTGTTTGTCTTGTGCTGGTCGGCGATGCGCCAGGGATTACGTCATCACGTTGGAAACGTCACGCGTCACGTCATCTATCTAAGTTATTTGTCTGTGTACTCCGGTTCAAAAAGGCAGGGAAGGGATCGAAAAATTCCATCTCGTTTTTTCCTCCAACTTCAAAATCGTTGTTTTAATTTATTATTATTATTATTATTATTTAAAAAAAAAAACCAACGTGATGACATAATGCCTGGCACATCGCCGACCAGCACAAGACGAACAATTGTGGTTAAAAGGTATATAAATGTTTATTTTTTTTAGAAAATGGCCGATCGTTTCGCTAGATAAGACCCTATTCCTCAGCTGGGAACGTGCAGAGCCGTTTGAAACACTTCAAACCCCTTTGAAACTGCATTGATTTGGACTTCAACATGTTGGTTGCGCTACAAGTCCATTGTGTGGAGAAAAATCCAGTAATGTTTTCCTTAAACTTAATTTCATGAACATCTTGGATGGCATTTGGGTGTGTAAATTATCAGGAAATTTTCATTTTGAGGTGAATTAATCCTTTAAGTTAAGTTCACATCTTTTAATGGAAACATATCTACTGAGTGACTGTTTTGTAAAGTTAATAATAAAATGAACAACAAAGTAACACGTAACAGAAAAAGGGGCAGGTCTATTATTTTGCATTTACACTCCAAGACTTAATGCACAGATCAATTGACATATAGTATCAGATCGTTTTGTTCCATCTATTGCTATATATATGGTTATCACTGTCAATTGGATTCAATTGCACTTTTAAATGCTTTTGCAATATTTTAATTTTCTCTTAGACTTTTTTGGAGAGTGATGTGGAGAGCACCGCCTCCTCACCACGTGGCAGCAGACGTTCTTCCTCTCATACGCCCTCCCATTGTGATGATGCCAGCAACAGCCCCAGACTGGTACTTTACACAGTATTATGATCACATACACATATTTCATTTTTTCTGCACATTTGTCAAAGTTTTAAGTCTCCTCGTCTCTCTTTGTCCTCCTCCATCTCTATCACAGAAGCCCAGGCTCTCCAGGCACCTGAGAGTTGAAGCAGTGCCAATGGGTCCCCCTGCCCCACCTCCTCAGTCCTGTGGCCCCTCACAATCCCTCAGGGCCCCTGACCCCTTCATTGAGAAACTCCATGCTGTGGATAAAGAACTTGAACTCAGTCCTCTCTGCATGGAGCCTTACCAGGTGCTGCATCACATACACACAAAAAAACTCTCTGCCTACTATATATGGTTCTCTCTAAATTCAGTCTGTCTGTCTGTCTGCTGAAGGCTCTGAGCAATGGCAGTGGAGGGGAGCCGAATGGCAGTCTGGTAGCCTGCCGTACTCGGTCAAAACGTCCGCTGAGGGACGTCCCTCTTGATCAGCTGGAGGCAGAGCTCCGTGCACCAGACATCACACCAGATATGTACGATAATGTCTCCACACCAGAGGACCGTGAATGGACCCAATGGCTGCAGGGACTCATGACCTCTCACCTGGACAATGAAGGTCAGTGTGTAATGTAGAGCTGTGATGGTGACAGTTTTTTACCTCCGCGGTGGTAATGGTCCAACTACCGGCGGTGGTTGGGAGGTGTTGTGAAAAAAATAAAAATAAAATATATATATATATATATATATATACACATCTCAAATAAATACATTTTGAAATAAAAAAAATAATAAACGAGGCTGAAACATCCATTTCGAAACATACATGCATGTTTATTTGAGCACTTCCGTCAATGAAGCAACACACTAAAGCCTGTAAAGCATTGAAATAAATATCAGTAAATAATAGTAACTTAAATAATATAATAAAGTTAAAGGTGCTCTATGTATTTTTTAGCGGCCTCTAGCGGTGATGTTTCAGATTGCAACAAGAGCGCTCGTGCTCGTGTGCGTGCTCGATCTCAAAGGCGAGCATTCACTACCGCCCACACGGAGACTTTCAACGCAACGGCGAAAGCATCACACAACATGCTGGAAACTCATGTAAACTCCCACTGCAACGTTACAATAATAGGCTACTTTTATCAGCTTGACGTTGAACTAATGCTCCATGCTCGTACCATGACAACGTTACATTGACTGCATTTAGCCGACATGTGATGTTATCTAGCATAAGGCATTTCACTAACTATTCGTGTATCTTTCACAATCAGCAATGTCAACATAGGTGAATGTATAATATGATAACGAAAACGGTGAACTAGACTGAACAATGTCAGTGTAACAGTAAGACAGTAGGAAGTAACATTACTGTACTGAACGTGTCTGGAAATGTTTATTATAAACAATATGATAGTAGTGGGATGAGTAACGTTAGACAGTAGATCTAGTACATAAAATAAGTAGGGCTGTCAAATGATTAATCGTGATTAATCACATCCAAAATAAAAGTTTTTTTTACATAATATATGTGGGTGCATTGTGTATAATTATTTTATATATATAAATACACACACATGCTTGTATATATTTAAGAAATATTTTCATGTATATACTGTATATAGATTTATATATAATTTATATTATATATAAATATAAATATTTTATATATAAATTAATTTTTTTTCTTAAATATACATGCATGTGTGTGTATTTATATATATACGAAATGATTATACACAGTGCACCCACATATATTATGTAAAAAAAACTTTTATTTTGGATGTGATTAATCGTGATTAATCATTTGACAGCCCTAAAAATAAGTTACATCCTAAAGCATCTACTTTTTGTTATCCTGGAACAGTCTTTTGTATAAATTCATGTCTCATGTAGTTTACCTTGCTATTTCATTAGAGTTTACTAATAATTCAAAAGCTCTGCCGATGTTGATCCGTGTTTTCGTCCTGAGTCGATCAGAATCACGTTTGGCCTGACGAGCTTCAGCAGATAAAACTTTTTTTTGTTTTTTATATTTATGTGGTGTTTGTGTTGGAGTCTGTGTTGTGCTGGAGGCAGGTCGTTTTGGGGTGTTATCAGACTCCTTGTCGTTAGCTGAAGTGCTGTCGCATAGACTGTATATAAGGAGAGAGGCTCGAGAGCGCGCATGCAAGTCACATCCGATGGATTTTGCGGTAAATCCGACCCGGAGACTTCACATATAAATATGAATATTGGCCTTCAGAGGTAATAGCAAAACCCGACAAGTGGATCAAAAGCTACATAGAGCACCTTAAATATTTACAAAACATTCGCTTAATATTTCCTCACAAAGATGCGTGATATAGCCTACGCCTACCGCTCTGAGAGGGATGTGGGACACGAGCAGAAAAGAGAACATCTCTTTTCTAATATCTTCATGTTTTCTACTTGTTGTAAAAGGTCTGAAGAGCGAATTTTATCTTCCACAGTGTCAAGACATTTAGACTGTATTTGATTTTGCGCTGCTAGAGAAAGCGAAACTAAAATCACCCGCGTGTGTGAAACGCGCTTTACAATAAACTTGACGCGCCTTACCAAGTCTAATAATAAGCACAAACTGTGTTAAAAAGAATTTGACATGCAACTAAAAAGGTAGACTATCTGTCCTACAGCGTTTTTCTACGTTACCACAGTAAAGAATGCAAATATAATAGGCCTTATTAAAAGCCAACCAAAGGAAGAAACGGTTTATAATCCCCTGCAAAAGGGTGAGACGTGAGTGAAGATTTGGGAAAAGAAACAAGAGATTCCATGTCCAGTGGAATAACTAATGAAATATTGTTAAATTCGCTGATAATCAGGGGTGACCAGATCGCAAAACAGAATACAAAGCCGACAAAGCTTAAATTTATGGCCTCAATCACAACTCTCTCATTCGTCATGAATCCAAATATTTCCATGGCTGTGATGTAACATTTATTTGCTAACATATTATTTCTTTTGTAAACAAAGCTTTGTGGTTCACCCGTGTCATAATATTCATGTAAAACAGCATTCACATACAAAAAAAATTGTTTTGGCGTACCACCGCCGGTGCTACTCAAGTTTACCGGCACAGCCCTAGTGTAATGCACACTTCAGCAAGGGTGCGTAAATGGATAAAAGTATCAGGTAGCACAACTGTTTTCAACATTTATCATAATAAAAAATGTTTCTTGAGCACCAAATCAGAATATTAGAATGAATTTTAGAACAATCATGTGACACTGAAGACTGGAGTAATGGCTAATGGAAATTGAGATTTGACTTAATCACAGGATTAAATTACATTTTAAAATGCATAACATTGAATTAGAAAAGTTACTTTAAATTGTAATAATATTTCACATGTAACTGTTTTTACTGTATGTTTTTTATTAAAATAAATGCAGTCTTGCAGAACATAAGAGACTTTCAAAAACATCAAAAAAATCTTCCCGACCCGAAACTGTTGATATTATTTGGAGCTGTTTTTGACTTTTATCATTTGTTTTCTGGCCTTGGCTGAACCAATGCACCCGCAAATGTAATCATGTCTTTTAAACAAATCACTGTCATGCCCGTTGCACTCAGACAGATGCTGTCAAAGCACTTTTCTTAAATGTCTAAATGGCTTTCTCTGTGTGTGAGACTAGTTTAATGTGTGTGCGCGCGTCAGCGATTAAGTACTTACCTCTGTTTTTTTCCACTCATGTTTTTCTTCCCCTGACCTTTTCCCCAAGTCCTTTTCAGCATCACTGCTCTCTGTGTGTGTTCTCACACGTGAAAAATACAGTTCTTCTGATGATTCTCTCTCTGTATTTTTAGAAGAGGCTGATGAAGATGACGACCCTGAATATAACTTTTTAGATGATCTAGATGAGCCAGATTTGGAGGATTATCGAAATGATCGTGCTGTTCGAATCACAAGTGGGTTTTTATACAAGTTTTAGATTAAATAAACCCCTCCGTTTAAAGTGTTTACTTTTAGTACATTTTTTTCTCTATCTCTTGCAGAGAAGGAAGTCAATGAGCTCATGGAAGAGCTGTTTGAGACGGTAAAAGGACTTAACACTAACAGGAATAAACTAAAGCCAGTCATTCCTCACTCATTTTCTCTATTCTTCTCCAGTTCCATGATGAGTTGGCAGCCAATGAACAAGACGAGGAAGGTCATGAAGAAGATGAGGAACGTGATGAGGAGACCAATGACACTCCACAATTTAATGTTCCTCAAGCCATTAGGTAACACACACACACCACCTAGTCCAAGGCTCAACAATAAGGATTTTTTTTTCTGCTTCCCCGGTCATGTCAGTAGATTTCTGTGGCCTTTTCACATTTCAACTGGCCCAAATAAACAATTTTATATATATTACTAATTTATATTTATATATATATATATATATATATATATATATATATATATATAATGTGTGTGTTTATGTCCTTTTTGCAAAAAAATAAAAATAAATGCATTCACTTTCTAACATAAAATAAAACTGTATTTCTAACAGTACAAAGCCAAGGAGACATGTTAATACATCCTCAGGATGCATCCTCCCTATGGGACAGAGCAGCAGAGGAGTGCTGTAATCTGTTTGGGTAGGGAGGTAGAGAAATACTCTAATGTGTCCGATTGTTTCGCTGTTGACCCGGGACAAAAAATGGACACTGCGGAGCTACATGTACACATTTAGTATATACTGAACACATGCACACAAATCGCATCCCCCACTGCTGAGTGCTGTACAGGTGCAGGTCTATACGTCACTGCGAACGTGCTAAAAAGATTTCACTCTATGCCTGTGCTACGTGCAGAATCCAGGCACAGAGGCTTTAAATAGAGCTCATTTACTGGAACAGATAACCGCTACATGCACGTTCGCGCACACACAAACAAACCTCTGACACCTACTCAAAGGGCTTTCCTTAAAACATATGGCCCTTTTTCTGATGTATAACAGTCATCAGCAGTCCCTGTCTGAGCCCTTATTTAAAACCCGTCACATCAGGCTTGTCACCTCTTTGTTCTTTAAGTATACGTGTAATTAACTTTGTTACAGAAATAGTACAGTGTCAATCAGCACAAAACTGTCAAGAGATGGACATGTCACACAGTGTTACAGCTTATTATTTGCCTAGTGAAGGAGACATTATAGCTCGCACTGTGTGAATGTGACTTCCGTGCATCACTGTTCTGGGTACAGACAGAGATGTGGCTGATGTTTTTTTTTAAAATGTTAACGAGGTACATTGGCGTCTGTGCTGTCTCTTCCACACTGTGAATGTGTGTGTGTGTAAATGCCAAGCACTTATGCCTGTAAGTTCTCATTTACTAGGCTACAGAGAGTATAAGAGACTTGGTCTGCTTAATTAGTGACCGTAACTTAACAATGACTTTACTAAACATTATGTCACTAGATCAGAGGAACATAAGCATCAGCATTTTAATGAAAATATACAAAATAATGAGTCATAATTCTATTGCCTATTGATAATGCTGTTATTATTATACCATTAATATGTATGCAACTGTCAGAATTTCTCATTTTCATTTAGGTCTAACTCCATTTGGTGTGGAATGCCCATTTTTCTAGATTCCGTAAATTCCTAGTAGATCAAATCAACTCCCACACACACTTTTTCAGTTTCTCTTGGAAAAACATTACAAAATGGAATTAAAATGGTTCGCTATTTATTTATTTATTTATTATTAAACTCTGGATGACTAAGCTGATAATTGTCATCTTATGGCAGATAAACAATAAATAGCTTATATTAAAATTCTATTCTGTTTTGTCTAAATTGTATTACATGCTAAAATTGAATGTAGGCATCACAACATGATAATGCATGGAAAATGGCTATTCATTTTGAAATTTGATTAGTTAGTATTCAATGACTACAAATGTTTGAGGATATTAGCATATACAATTCAATATCCAATATTGCCTGATATGGTAAATTAAAATAAATCTTTAATAATAAATAAGGTACTGATATGTCATACATCACTAGTTGAGAATACTATTTCAGAACAATTCAAATTGTGTTTTATCAAGATGGCATATTTGCTTTGCAATAATTAGTGCTTCTAGTACACATTTTAAAACATCCCTCACTCTCTTCAGATTCAGTATGTTTCAGTTTGTCTGTCATCAGGTTTGAGGAGCCACTGGCTCACATGTTGACAGCATGCAGGCGGACCGTTAGAGAGCAGCTGGATGCTTTGCAGCAGCGACGGGAGAACCAGGTTCGGACCACCCAGCATGCACCTGGGCCTGGCATGGTTCTTTTGCAGCCCAGCTGTCCTCTGGTGGTCACGTCTCCTCAGAGAATACAGCTGCAGCAGCAAATACAGCAAGTAAGAGACTGTTTTAAACACCACCATACACACTAAACACACTTAATTTACCCTTAAAGGGCTACCTGGTCACAAGGATCTAATCTTTTACCACAGAGCTATTGATCCTTGTTTGTTGAATGTGATTCATGTAATGCACTGGCAAAACATCTTTTCAAAGTTCTTGTTTTATGCTGATATGATTTAAATTTGATTTAAGATTTAACTTTTTCTTTTTTCTTGCAGCATGTCCAGTTACTGACACAGGTCAATATGCTGTGCAAACCAGTGGAGGCGCTACAGAGTGAAGCTCAAACCACCAAACATTTCCTGGTAAGAAAATTGGGGATTAAACACATAGATATCCATAATAAAGGCTAGATGTCTTACGGCAGAGTCTCTATCGTCATCACCGTCGGCCATCTTGTCACAGGCAAGCTTTCTGGCGGGCTCTGTGGTACCTGATCAAAGAACGTATATTGACAAGAAGTGAAAGCCCATTAGAGGAGGAGACGGTGGAAAAATCTTTTCTTCTGCAAGTCTGAGCAATTATTAATAACAACAATAAAAACACTAACGATAATATTAATGAAACACCCCCATTCCTGCGACCCGTCCAAACCGCCCCCCCTTTGACCCCTGACGGGGGGGGGATCTGGGGGTCACTCCTGCCAGTGCCTGTCTTCAAAACTTGAGAGCCCTGCACACATTAATAAAAGACTGATGAATGAACATGGTTCAAAAGTGACCAATGTAAAGGAAAAGTGCTCTGCATGAGTGGGTTGAAAAGCCTGTTGCTTCTCCTGTGTGATAAACCTAGATTGTTCAAATTATTTTTTTTTTTCAATCTTAAAGTGAAGAAATAATTCTCTGCGGCTTTTGTTGTTTGACATTATTTTTTCTTGTAATTTTACTAGTTATAAAAAATACAGTATTATTACAATAAGTACAAGTGCATTTTCTTCTACCCCCTATTAATATGCCATTTTCCCCCCTACTTTATCCCTAAATGCCATTTTACCCTTATCTTTATTTGAAATATTATTTCCAAGATTTTTAGTTTTACAGACAGTGTGATAAGAAAGAGATTTAACACTTTTAACACAGCATTTTAGAAGCCACAGATCTAGGGAAAACAATTTTTTTTTTTATTATACACATGGCTTTATGCCAAAATGTTGTTCAGAATGTTACATTTTATTTTGTATATCTCAAAATCAAAAGAATTTGAGTCAGCAAATTTGAGTACTTTTTCAACAAAAAAAAGATAATTATAGTGACATTACAATGATACTACAAACTCTTTCCTGTCCTGTGTTGATAGGGGGAGTTGCTGTCGTTTGCGGAGCGGGCTGAGGAGGGGAGGTCAGCAGTTAATTCAGGTTTTAGAAGCATGTTTAGGGTGTGTAACTTGCAGTCCTCCCTCAAGCTGCTGGAGGAGTTAAAACAATGTCCGTCTCCTCTGTATCTTCCTCCCAAACCCATTCGCCGTCACTCAGGTCAGGCATCTCATAATGAATTCATATGATCCAATAAATCAAGTGAAGAGTACATGCATGGATGTGTGTGTATATCTGATGGCAGTATGTTTTTTGTGTTTCTGTAGTTTGTTCGTACCCATTGCTCCCAGCTGGTCTTGCATGGTTGTTCGCCACACGCTCTGTGTTTCTGTACCCAGAGCTTCTACCACAGTGCAGTCTGGATCCAGTCCTGCATCGCACACGCAGAAAACATTACATCAAAGGGGAAGACGGGTACAAATGGCTCTGACTGTCTACTCATGGGAATGAATGCTTTATAGTTTTTTATTCAGCCATTAACAGTCTTTGAATGTTAGTGGGGCATTTACATGCATATGTCATCCTTGCCATGGAAAAATTAAGCAATTACTAAAGAACCACTTTTAAATAGTTAGTTTAGATCTATATTTTGCTGTATTGTAGTGCTATAAATCCATATTTAAGGAAATTGCATTGCTTCTATATAGTCATATAAGTACTTGATAAGTATTAAAAAAAGTCATATAAAACAAATGTGAGAAAAAGAAAACCTCATTAATGTGGGAAGAAATATACGTCCTCTGAATTTCACAGGGTATCTACACTAATACCTGTTAACGTCTGTATCTGTAAATAAGTACCTTCTTTGAGAAGTTACAGTTCACCTTTTGACTGCAAATGTCAAATTCATAATGCAATTGGTCCGTGAAGGAAGAAGAAACGTCAATATGGGCTTTTGCAGTTTAATGTATCAAAACAAGCACTGTGTATTCACTCTGCACAACTGACACCGACTAGCAAACACTTGAAGAAGCAGTGAGCCATACCTTCACCCAGTTTACCCTCTGCCTCTCTCTCTTCCCTTGCTCCCACCTCTCTATAGACTGATAGTATTGGGGTTAAAGCACTTTGCTCAAACAGAGTTGCCATACCACCTGATGAGCCGCTACTTGATCCGACCCAAGCCTCAAGAGCAGCTGCGTGCACGTGTGAAGGAAATGGCGTCCGCCAAAGCCCCACACAACATAATCAAGGTGATTCGTCGATCATCTATTGGTTCATCTGCCCATCTTCATATACACTGTTATTTGTGGTGGTGCACATTTGCTCCCCAGTTTCCTCAATTAATTTCTACACTTTCTGAAGCCGAAAATTCAAATCGTAATATTCTGTCATGTTTAATGTGGGTTACAGTTTATTATGACAATGTAATGTTGTATGTCTTAGTTTTACTGCCAGAATAGTGTGGTTCCTCCTTTGCCGGTGATGTGCAGACCTGTGGTACCTGGAGAGGAGCGCCCTCCTGTGGAGAGAGAGCAGGATATCATGCCAATCTGGCTGAAGGTATTACAACCCCCTAGTCCAGTGGTTCTCAACCTCTAAGCAGCCCCCCCAACAATATTCTATGGCCCCCCTTGTTAAACTGATATATGTACCTGGGACTTCTGATGGGATAAAAACAAACTCCACAATTGTACATTTTTAGGTTTTTTAGCATTCAAATTTTTCAAACCTTAGTTGAGAACAACTACCCTAGACTTTTTCACTAAAACCTATTGAAGAGAAATTCTACATAAAAAAAAAAAAAATTCATTCTGATATCAAGTACAATCCTAATGGTTTCAAATTTGCCTTTACAGAAAAGCTTGCCATACATCCATAGGGGAGTTTGTCAGAGCAGTTTACAGGTGACCTCCACCACCACTAAATCTCTTACCCTGTCCTTCCCAAAAGGAACACGCTACCCACAATTCCTCCCTAAAGGTGTTTCTCTTCGTCTACATCCAAGTGTAAGTCGCCCTTCACAGCCCAAATCTCAGCGTATGTTCGGTTTCGTCCACCCTACTCTCACACCGTTGCCGAAAGCTCCTCCGTGTCCCACAGGTGCAGGAAATGTATTATCCAATGTCTCCACACCACTTCCAGCACATGGTGTAATATTATTAGCCCAAACACCTAGCACTCCTATAAATGGGGTGTTCCCATTGGTTCAGCCCTTTTTGACTCCTGCACATGGGACCGTCCCACTGTGCGCTTCTTATCCTATTAATTTCCAGTATGTTACTCCAGAATTGGGGGCTGGTAATATGGCACACCCTTCTGCTAACTTGCCCCCCACTGTAGTTCAGATACCCCCAAGTGACATACATCTACATAGTACTGGGACAGTCAGGACGTGTGGCGTGCAGCAGATGTCCGATAAGCACAAGAAACGGACCATGCCTAGAAAACTTGCTCCTTTGAAACCAGCCCCCCAGCCATTTCCCCTGTCCTCTAGTACAATGGGAAACGTAAGCAACCCTGCTGTTGTAACGGACCAGCCAATATCCTTAAGTGTTACACAGAATTTTCCATTAGATAACGTTGTTATCAAAGCCCATGAAAATGCTCCTCACCTGACTGCCACCACACAGAGATTGGTCACATCTCCCTCCCAGGATCTTGTCATACAGTTAGTCCCTGGAACACAGGCCGTGGAAAATGCCTCAAGTCCCTATTTCGGAAAGACGACACAGAGGTCAGAATGTGACTTTTTGCAAACCATGAAGGACATCCCTCCTTCACACTATAGTGTTCAAAATGGTCAAAGGACTGTTTTTTCTCCTCTGACATCAGCAGCAGCAGACAGTTCTCAGTTTGTACTGGTTCAGACCATTTCACCTACTGGAGTTCCTCAGTTCCTACTTTTGCCCCAAGACCCATTCATTCTGAACCAACCTGCTCCACTTCATGCTGAAGGTGCAGCAGGGAGTTTATCCCAGCAGACTGCCTTTTCTGACATTCCTGCTGGCTCCATAGTACTAAATAACACAGAGAGGACTGAGGTGCCTTTAAACATCATAACACCATCCACAGAAGATAGAGAAAGAAAGGAAGAGGGTGAGGAAATGACTGGAGACAGATGGGAAGAGGAAATGGCTGGTGCTCTGTTTGGTAGTCCTCTCCTGGCACTCTCAGAGTCCTCTTGCAGCCCCGACTCCAGTTTGACCAGCATGGATGCAAGCACAGACAGTGATGCTGAAGCCTCTGTGAGGGTGAAGACGGACACTGGAGAGTGTCTTCCTGTCCGGTCGGGCTCTGGCAGTCAGGAAACATTCGGAGTGCACAAACACAGCACTGGAGATGGGAAGGAGCAACAATCCGGTGGGGGAGAGAAACAGAGCAGTGGGAATGAGGATGTTGGACAGGCCGAGGAGAGGGAGAGTGGGGGAGATGGAGAGCGTGATGAAGATAAAGAAGGAGAGAAGAACGGTGATGGAGAAGATGGCAGAAAAAGAGATGGGGGTGGAAGTGGCGATAAAGGAAGCGAAGAGAAGGATGGAGATGGAGAAAAAGATGGAGATGGAGAGCGGGATGAGGAAGAGGAGGATTTTGATGACCTCACGCAGGATGAAGATGAGGAGGAAGTGATGTCTTCGGCATCAGAGGAATCTGTGCTGTCTGTTCCAGAACTTCAGGTTTGTTTGTTTTTAGAAAATGTCCAAAAAAAAAAAAATTTGCAAATTAATCTGTTTATGATATTTAAAATATTAGGGACACGCCGACCGGTTTAAAAAATTCTAATATTTTTTCATATAATGGCATAGGTTTTAGATTTTAATGTTAAAAGTTATAGCAGATTTTGAAATGTGATATTATTGTCTAAATAAATTAAGAACAAAACACTACTAGAAACTAAAGTCAATTAGGGATCACAGCATTATAATGTGCAGTATGAAAAAATATATATTCTCATTTTGAGATTTGCAAGATTACGTTTAACAGTGTTATAAAATCTGATTGAGATTTAGATGATGGCAAAGATAATTAAAATGTAAAAAAAAAAGATTAAATGAGCAATTGAGCATGCACAATTATATTATATACAGCTGATACCAATAAATAAATAAATAAATAATCTAATAATATCAACTGTTATCCGATATGTGTATTTATTTTAAAGGGGTCATATAATGCCATTTTCATATAAGTTAATTTGAATCTTTAGGGTCTAAATGAAAAGTTTGTAATATACTTTAATTAAAAATTCTCATTAGTATTGTAAGAAAACACTTATTTTACCTGGTCAAAAACAGCTCTGTTTTCAGCACGCCGTTTCAGTGCATATGACTTTAAATGATAGTGAGCTTCGCTCACCCCGCCTCTCTGTTCTGTGGGGCGTTTTGACACAACTCACGTGGAGTGTTGCCTTGACAACAGTTGAGGGTATATTTTGGAGAGAGAATGGCAGGTGATCTTTGATCTATCTTTGTGTACTGGCAGGGTAGAGTAACTTAGTGAGATGTACGAACGCTATGTGTTTACTGATGTATACGTAGTACTCAGTTTGTAATAACACAATAACCATAACGCGTTGTTCATTATAAACGTGGGATTATGAATTATATTGAGAACGTCGTATAGAAAACATGCCGTAATGTACCCTGAGTGTAAACCTTAGCCGCATTCATCGTGAAGCGTGCAAGCGATTTGCAAAGATTAAAATAAAATATAAAATTTTACACTCACTTCTTCTGGAGGTGCAGCAGGGATATGAATTGTTGGTACCGATTCTTTTTTCAGGAGCAGCTTCTTAGCAAAATCAGCTTTATACTGACCCTCATTTATAAAGCAGTCTGGTGGTGAGAAAAGATTTGCGAATCGCGCAAACATGAAAGCAGTGATGTTGCTCGTGGGGAATATTCCCTTCGAAAACAAAACTCAGCATTTCGGATTTAGGAACATCAAAATGACTGTGTTCGTTATTACACCCAAGAACAGAACACCACAATCACTTAGACGCCATTCTGCTCCAGCGTATCAACAATGATGGACTATGATGACAGCTCGCTCAGGGCTGGTCTGTGTTGAAACTCTGCTGTCAATCAACAATCGTGGGAGGGGCGTCCGCTTTATTGACGTCACAAAAACGAACGGCTCAATTTGAGGCAGGGGAAAACATATAAGGAGATTAAAACAAAAAGACTGGATAGATTTTTATCATTATATGATGATTGTACTGAAATGTGTGTTGGCAGTGCCTGTACACAATCAACTTGAAAAAGTGCATGCACCATTATATGACCCCTTTAGCAAAACTAGTTTTATTAAATTGTTCCTGCTGTGTTCCCTCGGCAGGAGACAATGGAAAAGTTGACCTGGTTGGCATCAGAGAGGAGACTATGCAGAGAGGGAGACTCTGAGGAGGACAATTCGCCCACGTCCCCAACATCCCCCACCTCCCCAAACTCTCAAAACTCCCCTGCTTCCCAGAATTCGCAGGAGGAGAACTCCGAGGATGAGGATGATGGGGCGATAAAGGGTGATGAGATGGAAGCAGGGGAGGGAGAATGCGAAAAGCTTCCTGAGGGAGATGCGCCACTGGGCGACGACCCCCCACAGATCACCGGGAGAGGAGGAGGCCGTGGAAGAGGTCAGTACAATTGTTAACACCTGATTATGTTGTTTTGAGTGATGTCAAGTTAAAATGAGCCTACTGTCCTGGTTGGTTTTCCAATATGAAATGTTTCAGTGGATATAGTTTATTTACTTTTACAGGCCGCGGTCGCCCACCCCCTCGTAGTCTGAAGCGTTGTCGACGTCAGGAAAGAGGCAGTAAAGATGCCTCAAAGCTGCTGCTACTGTATGATGACCACATTTTGGACAAAGATCCATTGAGAGAGAGCAAAGACATGGCTTTTGCCCAGGCTTATCTCAACAGGGTCAGACCACTTGTATCTCTGACACACTAGTATCTCCTTTACACCAGTGATTAGAGAAACACTCATTTCTCTGTCTGTCTTCTTTTTTCCATTTCTTGTGCTGTTATAGGTGCGTGAGGTCTTGCAAGACATCCCTGGTAAGGTGGAGGAGTTTTTAGGACTGCTTTATGAGTTTGACCAGTCAGGAGAGTGCCGCAGTGTTGTAGAGCTGTTCTCCCAGCTGAAACTTCTCCTCAACGATTGGCCTGAGCTCCTCAAGGACTTTGCCGCTTTCCTTTTACCCGAACAAGCGCTGGAGTGTGGACTGGTACTTACAATCATTTTATAGACAAAAAAAGATTTTTTCCAGGCAAATAACTCTTCATTTGATTAATGTCAGTGCTAAAGAGAACAAAACTTTATTTGTATCTCCCAACCTCTCTCTCCCATCCCCAGTTTGAGGAGCAGCAGGCCTTTGAGAGGAGTCGTCGGTTCCTGCGTCAGTTGGAGATCAGCTTTGGGGAGAATCCTTCTCATTACCAGAAGATAGTGAGAGCTCTGCAGAGTGGAAGTCCTCTCAGTCCTGCTGGCGTTGAAGAGGTATGGATAGATGGATTGATGAATAAATTGAAAGGTTTTCTGCAGTCAGTAAGATTTTGTGACCGTAAAACATTTGTAACGTTATTTATATTTCAAGTAAATGCTATTATTTTTTTTAAACTTTCTATTCATCAAAGATTCCTGGAAAAAAAATCTTTGAGATACTTCTTTCAGAAACATTGTTAACATTAAAGTGCCCCATTCTGGTTTGTCGAATATTACCTTTCTGCAGTGTGTAAAATAGCCTTTTGTGAATATAAAATGGCTGCAAATTATTAAAGATCAATGCATGACAAATAAAGTTATTGTCTCCTAAAATAAAGAATCGAGTCTGAACTGCTGAAACGAGTCATCAGCAATTTCAGTCTCACTTCTTGTTTCATACCTACTTAACAATGTAATAAATATGCATAATGCCAGCTTATGGTTTTCATTGGCTGCCAGCGAACAACGTCTTCTTTGACACTTCCTCAATCACTGAAGTTGGAGCTGAGTGCGGTGCGAAATTATAAAAAAGGAAAGGCTAAGTGATTGTGTACAGTCAGCAGTTTGTTATGCAAAAGAGACCTCTTTAGGGTGATGAGAGACCCTACTGCAAAATTATCCTGCTTATGCGGCTACTTACCACATAAGTAAATTAATGAACATCAAATATAAATGACATTTTATTACCTCAAGATGACTATCAGTACCCGCTTGAGCTGTCTGTAATCAGTTGTTGTGAAACAACAGAATTGAACATTGAATAGAGCATGGTTCTGCTCTAAGTATAGACAAGTTTGTGAAAGGACTGATAGTGCCAGGTAAACGTAAAGCAGATGAATCTACTTCAAACATCATAACTGCCATAACACAGCGTCTACACCAGACGAGAAGCGCAATGTGATGCAACAAAAGCATGTAGAATCCATAGTGATCATGCTCTCTAAGGACGCTGCGGTGCAACAAATTTTCAACAGTAGACTAATGTCCCGTTGTAACATACTGCTTTTACGCGTCCAGTGTAGACAGCCTCACCAACCTGTTGCAGTGCGTTTAGACAAGTTGTTTTAAAGACAAGAAAATATGGTGAGGCGTATCTCGCCCTCGGATTCATCAGTACAATGGTGGTTAATGAAGAGAGTGTGTTGTGTGCCTCAAAATATTCGATTCTGACAGTATGAAGCTGAACAAGTTTAGACTCCACTTAGAGACTTAACATCACAAACACAAGGAGAAGCCAGAAGTTGATTGATTGTAGTACAGTATTAATTACAGTTATATTTCAAATAAATCCAATAGGATTTTTCAAGTAAGGTCATGTCTAAGAGTGTCTTTATGTGGGTGCATGTAGGTAGGATGGGCTTGAAAATATTTTTCTTTACAGAAGGGGGTGCCTGGCAGAAAAAGTTTGGGAACCACTGACTGTTTATTGTCCAGACTTGTCATCTAAAATCCCTTTATTTTTGTTTTTGTAACTCAGCTCAAAGCACAAATGGTCACCCTTCTTAAGGGCCACACACACCTACAGGGAGAATTCTGGATGTTTTTTGATGAGATGCGTCCACCTCCAGCACGTCCTGGCCAGTTTGAAGAGGCAGTTTGGCCAGAGGACATGGGCACTGGGACAGATGGAGAGGCAGGGATGACTGTGGACTCTAGAGGAGGTGTATGGGGAGGGTTTGAGGAGGTCACACTCCCTGATCTCGAGGAGGATGAAGAGTCGCACAAGGTTCGACAGATCAGCAGCAGGAGCAAGAGGAGGAAAGAAATGCACACGTATGGCAACTACAAGGTGTCTTCATGTTGTACATCCCAGTTAATTCATAGTTGTTTTTCCCATTCTTGTTTAGTTGTTAATCTTGTGCTTTTGTTCAGGACTGTGATTGGCCTGAGAAAGATTGCTCCTGTCCCTGTCATGACTCCAGCCTTGATGCCAAACATCGCAGGCATAAGAGAAAGGGATGCTTGCGTTGTCATAGCAACAAGGTGCTCGCTTTATTTGTATCTATAACATATCTTAAAATATTTGTAATTGCCACCCTTATTATTAAGGAGACTATTTTTAAGGAGGTTGTTTTTTGGTCAACAGGCCACTAATGGCTCAAAGGTGCTGAAAAGCCGTGATTCTGTGTTTCCGTCTGTTGATGCGCAATCTGAAAGGGGAGGGGAAGAAAAGGAAGAGGAAAAAGGACAAGGGGAGGATGGAGAGGCAGAGAAAGAGGTTAAAGATGAGACTGGCAGTGGAGAAAACAGTCCACATCACGGTAAAGTCTTTTCAAATGCTTGTTTTTAATTAATTTACGCAGGTTTTTAATGATTAAAATCTTCATGTATTCCTACAGAGCCTCTAAAGATACTTTTTATTACTACATTTACTTGAATTATTACTTATAATTTACACTACTGTTCAAAATTTTGGGGTCAGTAAAAAATAATTATTTTATAAAGCAAGGATGCATTAAATTTATCACAAGTTAAAGTAAAGACATTTATAATGCTACAAAATAATTTATATTTTAAATAAACCTTTCCAATCATGGTTTCCAGAAAAATAAGCAGCACAACTGTTTTGAAAATTGATAAGAAGTTATTCTTGAGCACCAAATCATATTAGAATGATTTCTAATATAGGAGTAATTGCTGCTGAAAATTCCGCTTTGCCAACACAGGAATAAATTACATTTTAAAATATATTAAAACAATAATAATAATAAAAAGTTCTTGTTCTTGTTTTTTTGATCCAATAAATGCAGCCTTAGTGAGCATAAGAGACTTATTTTAAAAAATATCTTGAATGGCACTGTACATGTTTGTGGTACTTTTTATATTTGCTAATATTTTTTTTTAATGCAGGAGTGTTCATTCACATATTAGATGGTATTGGTATTGTGACAACTCTAAAATGTCATTTAAATTATTCAATCTAATTTGTACTGACAGTTCAACTGAAACTACAAACAGCTCAAAAACATTCTGTACCTGCTCCTGCAGAGGGTGATGGGCCTGTGTGGGAGGAAGGAGAGAGACCCCCTTCCCCCATCCCAGAGGAGCAAAAAATACAGAACGAAGAAGGCAACGAGAAAAACGAAGAGGATCACACGTCTCCACAGAAGCACAGTAGGGATGAAGATGATGAATTAGGAGAGAGAGACACCACTCAGCAGAGCACACTGAGCCCGGCCTTAGACACGCCTGTGTGTGCCAAAAACATCTCCCTCACTCCCAGTGGAGAGAGGGTCATTCTCTGGACCAGGTGAGCACAGCCACAAATCATGATCTGTTTTTGAGCATCGTTTAATGGTGCTTGTGTTTTACATGGCCCTCTTATCATGTGGTTCATAGAGAGGCTGATCGAGTGATCCTTACTGCCTGTCAGCAGCAAGGAGCCAATCAGAGCACCTTTCAGTCTGTGGCAGAGCAGCTTGGAAACAAAACAGCCAGTGAGGTACCAGGATTATAAAGTTACAGATCTATTTCCACTGCTCTGACTTTTGATTCTTGAAAAGCAATTTTAGCATTCCTTTCTGTGCCTTTTTCAACATCAATGTCTCTGCAGGTTTCAAGGAGATTTCGGGACCTGATGCGTCTCTTCCATACGTCAGCTTGTCAGGCCAGCTCAGAGGACGAGGCTGCTGAGCAGCAGTCTGCCACTGATGAGGAGCAGGATTGAGACTTTCCTTCATCATTATGAACTGTTGTCTTTGTGCAATAAAACAGCAATGCAGTTCTTCTAGTTGGAGCCTAGTCATGCACAGCCGTGCACTAACACCAGCCAAAGACGTATTTTAAGCATGGTGACAAAGGGTCTGAAGGTCTCTCTGTAACATATGAAGTATAAATCCATTAAATATGAAGATGTTAGAAGACACATGCTAAACACATAAAACCAACTCAACATTATTATTGAAGAATAGTAGCACAAAAACAGCTCAGGTTCTGATATGGCCTGATTATTGTTTTACCATTGGTGGGCCTTCCTGAGCACAAAATCAAACATTTGATTAGTCAAAAGAAAACTATTTTTCATTGTAAAGCACTAACCAGCAGATTCTCACCAACATTGTTTTTGACAGATTGACTGTGTATTCTGTGAATATATATGAACAAATGGGGGGGCATGTACAGTATTTTTATATAAGGGTGGTTTTGTTTTTTATTTTGCTTCAGATGTTTTTAGAAAGATGCACAAAGTTGTAGGAAATCTGGGAGACATAATAAAATGATTATTTATACCAAGCTTTGTGTGAGACAGAATTATTACTATATTTCACGAGTTCACACTTACATATAATGATAAGATGCGTATTTGGCGTGCTGTAGTGTGGAGTTTGGCCCGAACCCAGAGTACTCCCCCTCCCCCCTATGTAAGTGTTAGGACTGGAAGTGTGGAGAAGGGGTGGTGGAGGGATGCTGCTAAACTATCAATGGAGTGAGGTGAGATTGCTGAATCTATATATACACCTCTTATCATTGACTGCTGAGTGCACTCCACTCGTGTTAATTAACTGAACGTGCTCCTCCCGAACTTTGTTAATAAAACATATATGTGTGTGTGTGTGTGTGTGTGCATACAGTTTTGGTCAAGATATTGACAATGCAAGGCTCGAGCACTCTATAAAGTCTACGCCAGCACACCCCAAAGACTTTAAATGAATATAAGGTCTGGACGCAGATGTTCCATTTCATGTGTGACAATGATTCTTCATGCTCCCTTCCGACCATTCTTTCCTAATTTGAGCATAATGAATCTTGACATCATTCCTGGAATATGACCAACAGCAACTTTTTTTTTTTTTGGCTGGGCAGAACTGCTTCTGAAATCTATTATGAGTATGTCATCATGGGTCTATCAAATCTTAGTTATCCCTCTCTGTGTGTGCATTCAAACCATAGACTGTAAAGATTCAAACGGCCTATTTCAGAGAACGCGTTCCGTTAATCGAGGGCAATGACCCTTTTCGCTTTCCATAGTTACCTAGCTGGTGTCATGGCTGCTTCCTTGCTGAACGCGTGGTAGCGATTATTGCTTATTTACCTCTTTTTGCGGTACGAGCCTAAAATTAATGGTAGTGTTTTACTGGGTTTACAGGTCTTTGACAGATTAAAAATTACACTGAATTAACGCATATTTAATATTGCTTAATCTGTTTTACAAACTGCTTCACATTTTCAGATTCTGAGTTGTTCTGGAAATGGCAGAAATGGTCAAAGAAAAGAGTACAGGGCTAAAATTCGCAGAGGAGCAGCTTCTGCGACACGGATGGGAAAAAGGTGAATTCAGAAGAGATTTTAGGGCGTCTTTGGCCATATCCTGTTTGATGATGTCTAATGTGTGGACTGTTGTGTTGTAGGTAAAGGTCTGGGAAGATCAGAGAATGGCATCTCAGAGGCTATTAAAGTCAAAATTAAATATGGTAAAGGAGGGGTGAGTGAGAGATTTTATGTTATGTTTTTGTTTGTTTGTTTTTTGTTGTTGTTGAAAATTACAATGATTAAAGCATGTAGGTAGTTGACAATATGGGCATAAAGTTTATCATGAACTGGGCTGGCTATATATATACACATACACACACACACACACAAGTGAAACTCTAAAAATTAGAATATCGTGCAAAAGTTAATTTATTTCAGTAATTCAACTTAAAAGGTGAAACTAATATATTATATAGACTCATTATGCAAAGTAGGGATAAGACAACCCAGCTAACAATTTTTGGTTCCCAGAACGTTCTCAGAACGTTAGATTTTGGTTCCCAGAACGTTCTCTGAACGTTATTTTTTGGTTCTCAGAACGTTATTTTTTATAGTTTGTTTTTGGTTAGCCAGGAAAGTTTTCTTAACGTTCTCAGAACGTTAGTTTTTGGTTCTCAGAACGTTCTCATAACGTTAGTTTTTGGTTCTCAGAAAGTTAGTTTTTGGTTCCCAGAACGTTAGTTTTTAGTTCCCAGAACGTTAGTTTTTAGTTCCCAGAACGTTATTTTTTGGTTCCCAGAACGTTAGTTTTTGGTTTCCAGACCGTTAGTTTTTGGTTCCCAGAACGTTATCAGAACGTTAGCTTTTAGTTCCCAGAACGTTCTCAGAACGTTAGTTTTTGGTTCCCAGAACATGGTTTGTTTTTAGTTAGCCCGTAAAGTTTTCTTTACGTTCAACAACAATTCATCTTTTTTTTTTACTTAAATAAAATACAACAGTAAATCTATATAAATAATCAACCTATACAGTCCATGTTTTTGTCTATTCATTGTTTAATTGTTGATTAAACACACACCACCACAATCATAGGCTATGCATCACATTCAACACATGCGCAAAAGGCGAAACGAAAACAAAGTAACTACGAAAACATTTTTATTAGTAGTCTAATTGTAGATCCCACTTGAAAGCCTCTTCCATCTTCACCACAGTCATCTGCAAATATAACAAATAGTAACATTATTATATAATGTTTCTCATGGGATCGTACAGTATTTTCAACATTTACGGGGGTTAGTTGGTGATTTTATATATATCTATCTATATTTGACATATTCATAATCAATGCTTTTGTCGGTTCTTTGTGACCGCTTTTAGGTGCTTTATCGGCAGCGCCGCCGCCACCCTTACATGTTACATGAACGCGTCACCACCGCACCAAAAACATGATTGCGTGATTAAAACATGAAAAATACCACCTAAACATAGCCTAACTGTTTAGAAAGAAAACACAGAACGATTAGCCTAATGCGCATACATCCATCTCGTGAATGTAGTCTTCTTCATGCCATTGCCATCTTCATCCATTAGCCGCTTTTCCACTGGCCAGCGCGAGCACAGAGGCCGAAATCATGCCTCACAGCACTCCTGTAAAAAATAAATCGCAATACATATATATCAGACGCTGCCATTTAGTCTTTATTTACAAACTTGGACACCACACGCGGCTACTGACTGACCACGAACAGGTAACTTAACCTACTTGCATTTTTCATTCGTTAATGTCTCGCGGTCTTGCTGTTTTTTTGTTTGTTATACAATTAAAACTAAAAGTCTGTTGTAACGCAAGCCTTACTGAACATGTAACGAGTAAAATATTACTGAAAATTGATTAGTAATGCCTTACACTACTGTGTTACAGCAAAAAGTAATATGTTACTCTAATGTATTACCTTTGTAACGCGTTACTCCCAACACTGTTCATAGCGTCTTCGAGATGATGATCAGGACAAAAACTCCTCTGCTACGGTGCAGGGCATCAACATTGAAGGATCTAGGAACACAACAAACCATTTGTCACAGAGCCAACAATATTATTATACAATGCCAGGTTTATTAAAAGGAAAAAGCTACAGCAGAGGGGAAATGCAGAAAAGAGAAAGAATATACAGAAAATAATTTCTTAATTAGGATAACAGAATTTATTTTTAGGTTTGCTTAATCATTTAGTATTGCTCATACAGTGTCACTTGTTTGGATGTCAAAACCTTAAAATAAATTATACACTTTAAAAATGTAAATTTGATCAATTAAAAAAAATACGAAAATGACATGCATGGTGATATAGATAAAATATTGTGACAAAATGGAAGTTATTTAACGAGCTTCCTCGGTTCACCTGTGTTTCCTACATCTCTGGCAGCAGCTTTCTTCAGAAATGTTGAAGCCGTGGAGCTTCCACTTTGTTTTAGAGGGGTTATTTTGTTGCTGCTGAAATCACAGATTTTTTTTTTTATCAATATTTGTTTACCACTGAGCAGCTAGTTTCAGCCAATGTTCAAGCTCCATGTAAGTGACGTCACCGATTAACAGTAGGCTACATACCTTTGTTTACATTTATGTTAAATAAATTAGCTCACTTCCAAGTAAAACCTTTACAAAAACTCTCATCTACACATAAGAGATGATTAAAAGCCCAAACTTTCATAAACAAAAGCTCAACCGAGTTAATGTTACCTTAACGATACCTCTTCTGAAAACGGTTGAGATGCTAACGGACTTTTTCCGAAGACACTAAACCATGTGTATAAAGTAAATATTCAACAAAAGTGTGTCAATTACAAGTAAGAGAAGTGTCAAGAACAGTTGTGTGTATTATTTGTGTGATTTTTGAGACTAATCTCACCTGAAAGCAGTGAAAACAACAGCGAGAGAGGGAGTTTTGCTGCTTGTCAGTCGCAGTAGTCCCGCGTCGTTTCCATGGCAACTCTGCGCCGCTCCAATGTTTGCGACTCGAAAGTTCACGCGCACGGCCATTGATTAAAGCACGTCAAAAGCATGCATTGCAGCATTTACACATATAAATATCTAAACATTAGAACATTACTTTAAAAAAATCTCATAAATATTAAATTATGAATTTAAAACTAATTTTGGAGATCTATGGCCCGTTCTATAATAGTTTAACAAATATGAAACTAAATGTAGCCATTAAATAAGCACATTTAGTTTCATATTTGTTGAACTAATATAATTGTTATTTTTTTCCCCATCTGCTGATTATGAAAATTGAACAACATGAGTAAGATGAGCAATATATCGGGAGACATGATGGGTCAGACATGATTTTGACCACTTCATTAAGTTTTGTTTTGTGGAAAGCCTTTCTTTAAAGTGAATTTCGTTTTGTATAAATTGTATCTTAATTTTAATCAAATTTCCATCAACCAATTGCTATAATAAATAAGAATCAAACATATAGCAGACAATAATCATGACATGGAGGCGCGGCGCGATTGCATTGCGTGAACTGGAGAGCAAATCTTATCATAAATTAATTAACCGAAACTCAGGTATGCCTCACAGACATGAGGAACTATAGAATGCTTGAAATGTCTTTTAAACAAAACAATTCAAAACGAAAATAAATCCATTATGTGCATTTCTAGGTGCCGCCCCAGAAAATAAGCGCATTATTGATGCACAAGTCATTGTAGCATTTATTGCATGATCACATTATGGAAGGTTACAACTTATTTTTTCCTTCTCAATAGAACCTTCCAGCAACGTTCTGGGAACAAAACAATAACTTATAAAGAACGTTGCTTAATGACTATTTTTTAAGTTGTTTTGAGGTTATTCAAAAAATAACCTTCCAGCAACGTTCTGGGAACGTTGTTTTATGGTTGCAAAACAATAACTAAAAAATAACCATTAGGGAACGTTCTTTATAAGTTGTTTTGAGGTTATTCAAAAAATAACCTTCCAGCAACGTTCTGGTAACGTTGTTTCATGGTTGCAAAACAATAACTTAAAAATAACCATTAGGGAACATTCTTTATAAGTTGTTTTGAGGTTATTCAAAAATAACCTTCCAGCAACGTTCTGGGAACGTTGTTTTATGGTTGCAAAACAATAACTTAAATATAACCATTAGGGAACGTTCTTTATAAGTTATTTTGGGGTTATTTAAAAGTAACCACCCTGCATCGTTCTGGGAAAGTTTTTTTATGGTTACATAAAAATAAAACCTAAAAAGAACGTTCCCCTAACGTTAGTATTTGGTTCCCAAAAAAATAACCAAACAGGAACCAAAAACTAACGTTAGGGGAACGTTATGTGTTAACTGGGAATAAATCGATGCGTCATCATGAATCGAGAAATGATTCTGGATCGATTCCAGTTTTTTTTCCAAATGCATCGCGATCCTCTCTCAAATCGATCCTGAGCTTAGTTTTTAACAACAGATGGCTCTAGCCTAGAGCGCCATCTGCAGTTAAAAACTTAGCTCAGAATCGATACACGATGTATTGAGAACATACTACTGGGATCGGATGCATTCGGGAAAAAATGGTATCGATCCACGAATCGCGATGCATCGATATATTGTCCCAGATATTTCAATCCTTTATTTGTTATAATTTTGATAATTATGGCTTGCAGTTTATCATAGCTGTAAGCCATAATCATCAAAATTATAACAAATAAAGGCTTGACATATCTCACTTTGCATGTAATGAGTCTATATAATATATTAGTTTCCCCTTTTAAGTTGAATTACTGAAATAAATGAACTTTTGCACGATATTCTAATTTTTCGAGTTTGACCTGTATATATTTGTTAACAATAATGATTATGGTGCTCTATATCCTTACCATCTGGTTTATCATCCTAACCCACCCTTTAGCTCTTGCAGTTTACAGTCCCTTAAATGCAAGTTTCTTAATATGAGATTGTATAATAATATTATACATTATGATAATTATACTGTAGTTAGAATCTACATGTATAATAATTAATTATACAGAAATTAGACATGCTGTCAAAAACAGTTGTAGATTAAGTATAGCATATCTTACTGCAGGTCATGTAAACTACCCTTGTGGTTTTAGTTATCTTTTTTCATTTTCCAGCTGTTGTAGACCTTATGTTTCTATTTCAATTTGATCATTTGTCTTCAGATGGGCCATAAGGAAGGTGAGCAGTTCAGTTTTCACTGGTGGGACCATGTTTTTAACAAAGCCTCATCCAGTCTGGTTGTGGAAACAGCGCAGGTACATAATATAGAAAAAACTCAATAAAAGAATATGATAGCAGTGAATGAGGGCATGTTTTAGTCATCTGATGTTGTCATTGTGGTTTAGACTGGTGTGGTGGTGAAGTCAAATGACAGCAGTGATGGATTGATCTCTAACAAGAAGCCACGCAAGGCTCAGCAAGCCAAGTCCATGCTCTATGGATGTTTTGTCAAGGTGCAAAACCATAAACGGCACACACAATCAATATATTTTCACAATACCACAAGCATTTATGGAGCGATAATTGAGTATTTGTATTGTGTAATTGTTTTAAAGTCATCTTTCTCCATTCTCAGTCAGCTACACTGCTGTCAGGTGAGCAGCCAGAAAAGACCTCTGATTCAGATGATAGCAGCAGTTCTGAAGATGAGGACCAGAAACTGGACCTTTCCACCACTACCAAGTATGAGCTGCCAGTAGTACAAAATCATGATTTGTGACACATTCCTTTAAAAATACTTTTGCAATGAATACTTTAATTTCTGTGATATATTCTAATTATATAAAATATTCTGCTGCACGAAGCATGCCTTTTCAGATGTTTCTGTATGTGGCATTTAGAGGCACTAAAGATCCATTTAAAATGTCCCACAATGGTACTGGTTAGATTTCAAGATCAATTATGCTTTCAGCCGGCTCAATTGTCTTCGTTTTGTCTGTCTGTTTTAAGGCTATCTGACGCAGATCTGCTAAAAGCTTGTGGAGGACGAACAGCACACAAGTAAGCTATATGATCTCATAAAGTTTACACTGATGCATCCAAATCCACAGTATCCTTACAATAATTTGTTAGTCAATATAAATACATTTATACAATACAAGAACTTGTAGCATTGACCCATTTTATATCACATTTGAGCAGGACAAAAGTCATAAGAATCATAGATAGTGTAACATTGTCAGTTATTGTGGTATTATTTATATACTAATATTTTGAATTAGCTTTTTTCATATTTTCAGTTTTCATAAAAAATTTTTGTAATGTTGATATGTGCTTGTTTCATTTTTATTAGTTTTTCTTTCTTTTTTTTCTGGTTGAGTTATTTTAGTAATTCATCTTAACCTAATTTTGCCTGGGTAACTAAATAAATTAAAAAATCATCTTACGCTTTTCATCTAATATTCATATTTTATTTAAATCTTTTAAAAATATATTTTTTAATTGTTTTAGTGTTAGTAAACAATAACAACAGATATATTGGTTTCTTATATATGTTATGGCTGCACGATTCTGGATAAATGTAATATACAAATAAATAAAACATGTCATTTACTAGATGTTCTGACAAAATTTCTGTTTAAAATATTTGATGATTCATAAAAAAAAAAGTTTGAATGAATGATTCACTCATATATATATACTTGAATTGTTTCATGAACGAATCTCTTGAATGAATGATTCAATGACAAATACATTTTTTACCAGTCACTTGTCGCAACCTGGTGGCGTAGCGATGTAATCGATTCAATCATTTTTTGAAATGTCACATTTTTAAAAGGTGATTTGCTCTATTTTTGTCTCGTCCATAGACATCAGTGTTTATATCCGAGCTATAAACTTTTATCCTAGTACTTCTGTGATAATATGAATATTTGTAACACAGAAATAACAATACTCTATGGTTGTAAAGAGAGTCGAAGCTGTTTCATGCTTATACATAATAACTGCTTTTTGTGGGTCAGCAGAGGGTGTGATTTTGTCACAGATTTAATAGACACAGGCGAATCGTGGTCATTTAGGAATGAGATAGCATGGGTGTTTGAACCGAGATTGCGACCTTTTAACAATAACCGTACTGCTCTAATATATGTGTTTATTTGTTTGTTTGTGTGAATAGAGGAGCCAGACATGGACTTACTATGAGTGCCAAACTGGCTCGGCTTGAGCAGCAGGAGCTGGAGTTCTTGAACAAGTATGGTAAGAAGAACCACACTGCTGAAACATCCACAAGCAGCACAGATTGTCTAAACCCTGTGGGACATCCAGATGTTAAAGAGAAAACAAAACGCAAGAAATCAAAAAGGCAGGATGGACCCTCAGAGAATAATATTCATGAAGATAAGATGACAACACAGGTCCTTGTTTCAAGTAATGACACTGAGGACAGCAAACCCCAAAAGAGGAAAGACTCTAATGGTGTGTCTATGAACGATGATATTATCACAGATGTTGAGCCAAAGAAGAAGAGAAAGAAAAATCGCAAAGAAAAAGAAGCACCTGAGGATGGTCTTAATGGAGAATGCAGCGTAGACGTGAATGAAGCGTTCACACACACATCAGAGGAACGAGACGCACACCTGCCGATGGATGACAGCAATCACAAGAAGAAGAAAAAGAAAAAGAAGAAACGGTCCAAGGTAGTTGCTGAGACAGATGAGATCATTGAGGATTCCACAGACGCACACGGCAAACAACCACAGGAGGGCAGTATTGAGCATCAACAAACCTCTGACAATGTCTCGAAGAAGAAAAAGAAATCCGTCATGGACCTCTATGAAACCGCAGATGTGGAAAACTCAACTAGTGGGATGACAGCGACAGAGGACACTGGCAATGAAGCACAGATAACAGGAGGACAGGAGAACAACAAGAGGAGGAACAAGAAAAAGAAACGAAGCAAAAAGGAGCAGGAGGAGGTGGTAGAGAATGTTCAGTGTGAGGAGTCCACGCCAAAGAAAAAAAAGAGCAAAAAGTGAACGCACAAACTCACTACAAACACAAGGGTGGTAGTTGATGATCAGGATCTGTGCTGCTGAGACACAAGGATCAATTCTCTAGCAGCTGTTCAGTTTCAGACTATTAGTTGAGAGACATGACAAAATGCAAAACGTGTTTGTTACACAGCACTCATATTTATTCTTATAAATCATGATCAAACTTTTAAGCTTGAGACCAGGTTACATGAAATTAGCTTTTTACTGGTCTGATTTGTAATACATTTGTGTAATGCATATTACATAGCATATTATTCACAGTGATAAAAATGTGATTATATATGAATTGTTTTAAAAATTGCGTGGCATGATCTGTGTGGATGAAGGTTTTTTTTCACTCGCTAAAGCTGGCCTTTTTTTAATGGCATGAAGGGTGCATTGCAATAAGATGTAATTTCTCAGACTTGTCAGTATGTGTCAGTACCTTGAAATATTGCTAACAAATCAAACTCAACTGGAAAATAAAATGATTTCTGAGATGGTTGTATTTTGCATTGACTTCTGTTCATCTTGAGGGGTCACTGTGGTTTCGTTGGGCTTGAAGGAAGGTTGGCCATGTCAAAACTTCCACTTCGCAGATCCATCTGCTTTTCATGGTACACCATTCTGATTTCCAGCTTCTCGGTGGGTTTTTGCTGGGCATTGACAAAACACAGTGCGTGTATCCTACATGGGGCAAATTGATCCAGAATCTGAAAGGGAAATATGGAAAATGTCAGCTAATTGCTTTTGAATTGTTTTATTTTTTTATGATTTATCAGAAGGAAACTGTTTTGAAATAAATTCCTTTTAAAATGTATTATTTACATTAATCCTGGCTCTTACTACTGTAAAAATAATCAAATAATTATTAAAAAAATAATTAATTTAGTTAATAGTTGGAAAAATCAAAAGCTCTTCTGTTGCCTTTTTCTACACTCACCCTCTCTCAAGCTGAGCGCCACTGGTCCAGACCCAAGTGTTTCCCTGTTTTTCAGAGAGTCCAATCCAGTACCCGTGATATGTATCATAATATGGTTCAGTGTGCTGATTGATGAATTCCTGAATTTGCATAGTACAATGAGAACATAAACACAATGCTATAATCATTTAGAAATCATTCCTAGTATTTACATTCTTTTTCAGTGTAAACAGGACTGTTGATCACAATGGTCTCATGATGCTAAACTACATTTAAGAACTTAAACTTAATGCCTAATTTACATGTTTACAGTATATACTTTGGTGCACTTTTCAGAAAAGACACTTTACAGGTCTTTGAAGAACTCTCCAGTTCAAGTTTGCTTTGTTAGCTGTAGAAATGGTGTACAACACTGCAAAACCTTTTTTAGTTTGATCATAAAGTCTTGGAAAGAGAGAAAAAAAAAAGTGAACATTCTTGTGTATTTCCATACTTTATTTTGTTTTATATACCTGTTCACCCACGCTGTCTATTATGGCCAGCTGAGCTCCATGTTTCCTGCAGTATTCTTGACTCTCTGCCCATGTATTCCAGAGGTTTCCTTTATGGAAATAGTAACAGCTGGAGCCATTTTGAATCCAGTTTTGAGGGCAGGATGTACACCGGACCCCTGTGATGGAGAATAGCTCAGATAAGCTGGATAAAACAAACTAACAACAACAACAAAAAAACATTACACTTCAGACTCTGGATTCAGTAAAACAGCTTACCATTCCCAGTGAACTGACAGTATTTATCCCCTGAAAAGCTGCTTTTATGAATTATGAAGTCCAGTGTGTTGTTCATCTGTTGACCCTGCGTCACCAGCCTGGCTGTCTCTTGCTCCAGCACTTCCTTGTCTGCCAGTAACTGCAGGTTGGCAGCTCTCTCTTTAGTGTACTGGGCCTGTATGAAGAGATTTCCTCTGGTTAAGATATGCTTCTGGCTCTACATATTGTTTAGCAGATTTGGGCAATTTCTGAGTATTTCAGTATTTTATGTTGTTTCAGGCTTTGCTCTTACCAGAATATTGTTGTGTTTAGACATGTGAATGTAGTCTGCAAAGCGGATAAAGAAAAAAGGCAAACTCTTAGTAAAATCTACAGTACTTGTAGACAATTTTTCAACTGCAATGCAATATTTCTATGATATTTTAGTCGTTATGAGTTAAGACAGTAGCCATATTTAATGATAATTTACACCATTGACTCATATTGACCTCATCAGTTTGTAAGAAAGAATGAAATTATGCAACTGATTTACAACAGCAGGACACACGTGAGTTTCCCGGTGTTGTTACACTGTTTCTCTTTTTTGTTGACACATTTGTAATTTGTACTTTTCTCCTGGTTATTTTTGAGGTTGCGACAATGACTTCTTCAAGGTTCCCTTTCTTTAATTTTAGTTCTAGCTCTAAACAAATACGCTTATGGCGGTTGCACAAACCTGGTTTAAACCCAAGACTAAACTGCATGTTTGAGCAGTTTTAACTGAAAGCAACTTGCACTGACATATCTTAAAATATGTCAGCGCCATTGTTTTGTCTCAAGATTTACACATACCTGTAATATTTTTTTCTAAGCCATGTTTACAAAAGCTACTTAAATGCCCTTTTTGACCTAAGGCCTAATCCTGGCTTAATCTAAGCCCTGTCTGTGAAACCAAACCTGTTAATCGAGGTCTTTGAGCTTCCTTGCACAGGGTTGGAACTAAACTCTTCAGAAATGTCGACATCCAAAAGTCGGATTGAATGGTATGTTTGGTATTGTGTATATGAATGAAACAGTGCTAATGCTTACAGAAAATGCTGACAGCTGTTAACGCAGCGAGCAGGAGGAAACAGAGCAGCCCCAGAAACACTGAAGCTCGTCTATACACCCGAGAGATTGGGGTGGAAGCTTCTCTTCCTGAACCAGAATGAGACAAGTTTGAGTCCAAGAGTGCGAGCATATGACAGTACATTTTTAAAAATATGAATGGGAATATACTTCAGAGATATTTTACTCATAAGAATTTCAAGGGGTGCCAATAATTGTGGCCAACGTGTTTTGGAGAAAAACTTTTATTTTATAATGAGATTTTCCCCCCACTTTAAATTGTTTTACTTCAATGAAAGGTTTGATTTTTCAATTTTTTTGAATACAAGATCAAAAGGATAAACAATGCTGATTTATTTTTACAGCCATCTCTAGTCATATTTATAAAGGGTAGCCAATAATTCTGACCATGACTGAATATTGTATATATAAATATAAAAATATTTTATATTGCTTTTGTAAAAAAATTAAGAAAAAAATAATATAAAACTGACAAATATCACAATTGATTCATATTGTGTGTGTGTAAATATATACACTGTGTGTATATATATATATATATATATATATATATAAATATACATACACACACACACACACACTGCTGTTCAAAAGTTTGGGATCGGTACGATTTTTAATGTTTTTAAAAGAAGTCTCTTCTGTTCACCAAAAAAAAAAAAAAAAAAAAAAAATTCTATTTGAATATATTTTAAAATATAATGTATTCCTGTGATGCAAAGCTGAATTTTTAGCATCATTACTCCAGTACTTTCAGTTTTTTTTATGTAACTGTTTACAATTGATAATAATAATAATAAACGTTTCTTTAGCATCAAATCAGCATTAGAATGATGTGACACTAAAGACTGGAGTAATGATGCTGAAAATTCAGCTTTGATCACAAGAATAAATAAAACATTTAAGTATATTAACATAGATAACAGTTATTTTAAATTGTAATAATATTTGACAATATTACTGTTTTTTGTTTGTTTGTATTTTTAACCAAATAAATGCAGCCTTTGTAAGCATAAGAGACTTCTTTTAAAAATCTTACCGATCCTAAACTTTTGAAAGGCATATATATATATATATATATATATATATATATATATATATACTATATAGTAATTGTGTAACTGAGAATATTTTAGTTAAAAACTTATTCTAAAACTATGATTATTGATTCATTAGGACTATTTAACAGTTAATATCAATTTTGTATAGATATATATTTTGTGTGTGATTGATCTCTAACCTGTAGTCTCAGTATGTGAAGTCGATTGTTTTCTGTTCACCTCTGCATACAGTGCAGACTCGTCTAACTGTCGCACTAATCAGACAAGGATTAATTCATTCATATTCTGATCATCCAAAAAGAGAACAACTACTGTTAAAAGTATTCCAGTAAACAGGGGAAAAGTTGTTAACATAATGGTTAAATGTAAAAAAACATAACAATAAACCCCCACCCCCCTCTCTGAACATACCTTTAGATTTCTCTTTGTTAAATGGCTTGAAGGTAATTGTTGAATAGCATAACTCATCTTCCATTGCACCTGCTCACCTTCACAATCTACAGAACACTGCTGGATCAGGGCACAGTGCTTTTAAGCTGAAAACAGCAGTATGATATGAAATCTGTCAGCCAGACTGCACGGAGAGGTTTTTGACGTTCAGAATTAGGAAATAACAGAAATGGTGTCTGATTTGAGTAGAGGAAGTTATGTAATTATATCATTTTCACTATGCAACAATGTTAGTTATTTTCAGGAAGTACAAAATGCCTAACCAGACTTTATTCAAGATAAGATTCTAACCAATTGTATGTAAATTGTTGAGATTCAAACATTTCAGTGGAAATCGGTTTCTGTCAAAACATTTAAATTTAAATGGCAATGGAATTTTGTCTGGTCAAGTGAATTTTAGTGGTATTCATTTACATTTGAAAATTGTTTTTGTTTATAACTCAATATTGAATCATTTTACATAAAGCACACTGTTGTGTTTTAAACTATTAAACAATTATTCAATTAATCTCAGGGTTGCCTTTTTAAAGGAATTTATGGTCAGAAATTTCATGGATTTTGCGCATGTTTTGAGGTTAATCTTTTACAAACGAATAGTTTTTGGTGCTAAAGCACAATTAGCCAAATGTCTCAACTATAAATTTACACTGTAAAAATCCAGCTTGCCAAAAGATCTTCTAACAAATGTAAAGAAGTAGCTTGAAATGTTTTAGTCAGTTTATTGAACAAGAGTACTCTAAACCTATTTCTAACAAAAGTTGCTTTGATGACCTTGATCAAAACTTGTCCAAAATGCATGTTGTCCCAACTTTTTAAATTGAGGAATCTGAAAAAGTTTACATTGCACAATGTTGTACAAGTCCTCAGCAGACATTCCAGCATGAAACATAAAAAATGGTGGTTAGCTGTCATATGGTTCAGACAGATTTCATCACTGTGTTTGAGATTTGTGTGTTGAGGGAGGCATATGTGCATCTCAAAGCTGTTGGATTTAATTTATAATTACAGGATAATGTGTCTGCCACTAGTTTTAAGAAGCAAATATTGCTTATTTCATGTAGGCTTTGAGAATAAAATGTAAAGGTGAAAGAATGAGAGTTGTATCCCCTTGCATTGCTAAATGCTAAACAATCTTTAGTTGACAACATTTTTTTTAAATCAAAAGAATGTCTGTTAAATGGTGCCCCACAATTGTTTAGTTACGAACATTCTTCAAAATATCTTCCTTTGAAATTGATACAGTTTGGAACAACTTGAGGGTGAGTAAATGATGACAGAATTTTAATTTTTGGTTGAACTATCCCTATGACATGCAAAAAAGTCATGGTCTGATGTATTGGGATCATCTTGCCACAAGAGGGGGCAGTAAATGAATGTGAAAATATCTGAAACTACAAGATTTATAGGTATTGTTCAGCTAAATAAAAATTCTGTCATTATTTACCTTCATGCTGTTTCAAATAAACAGTCTCAGTCATCATTCATTTTCATTGTATGGAAAAAAAAGATGCACTGCATGTTGACTCAGGTTATCGAGTCTCTAACATCTCTTTTTGAGTTCCACAGGAGAAAGAAAGTTGTACTGGTTTGGATGTAATCCAGCAGTGGGAGAGTTAACTCCTCAAATTACATCACTGCTTTTGCACATTCTGTCCATCCACCCCTCCTCCTCTATTCCTCCGCCCTCCCCCTTCTCATTGTCTATGAAAGGAGGGTCTTACCCTCCCCTGTCCATTCAGCCGCTGGGCACTGGGACTGTGGTCCAGACCTCACCCTCGAGCCTGTCATTAGAATCACTTAGCAGCCACAAAGACTTGCAGCCCTTCACAGCCTCTGTGCACAGTTCTAGTGTGATTTACACTTCACCCCACTCTGAGATGGAGCTTTTGGGTGTCCGACAGCCCTTCACACACTTTCAGGAGGAAAAGTACCAGATGCTGGAGCTGAACCAGCGCCTCGAATCGTACTTGGGCCGTGTGAAGCTTCTGGAGGAGGAGAACAAGCTACTGCGAGAGGAGATCCACACTCTCAAGAGCAGCAGGGACCCACCAGGCCAGCACAAAGCTCAAGAGGAGGCTCTCAGCCAGGCCAGGAGGATGATGGAGGAGGCCTGGAGGAAGAAAGACCATGTGGAGCTGGAAGTGGAGAACTTGATGGAGGATATGGAGATGGTGAGTATTCAAAGGCAGAAGGCGAAGACCGCACAGGCTGAAGCACAGAGAAAACTCAAGGACAGCAAGAAGGAGCTCGAAGAGGAGCGTAGGGCTCAGATTTGGCTTAGAGAGAAGGTTGGACAACTTGAGAAAGACCTCTTGCTACAGACGCAAGTCCACCAAGAGAACATGGAAACCTTGCAGGCCTCTCTGAAACAGACAAAGCCAGTTCTAATGGCCCCACAGCACACTCAAACTACCAGCATCCCAGACCTGGGACAGGAGTACAGCCACAGAGCAGCTCAAGCCTGGCAGGAGGCAACCAACAACTATCAGAGACAGTTTGGACGTCTGGAGGAAAGTCTGAACCAGGCCAAAGCTAACATGGCAAAGATTCACCAGGAGAAGAGAGAGAAACAGCATCAGGTTCAGCATCTGGCCAAGGAGCTCGAGAGTACGAAGACTAAGAGACAGATGCTGGAGAAACATGCCGTGCAGCAGAGAGAAGAACAGATGCAGGAGCTTCAACATCTTCAGGTAAGAATAGAAACTTATGGACTTTGTTGCTTAACCATTTCAACTTCTGTCATCATGTACGCACCCTCATATAGTTCGAACCTGTATGACTTTCTTACCTCTGTGGAACACAAAATAATATATTTTGAAGAATGTTTTTGTTCATACGATGGGAGTCTAAACAACACTAAACCCCGCTTTCACTGTTAGGACAAAAATCAACGAGACTTTTTTTTCTCCAAAATATCTTCTTTTGTGTTCCACCGAAGATAGAAGGTCATACAGTATAGCAGAGCCATCTGATTTTATTTGGGTTTCTTTAACAGCATGATATCAACGATGCCATTTTCCACAACCTCTTAACTTTAATCAAAGATTTTTAAGAAAACGTGTCTCATGATTTTGTGCAGGCTCAAGTAGATGCTCTGGAGTTGGAGAAAGACAGCCTGGGGCAGCAGATAGACAGCATGATGGTGGACAGACAAAATCTGCTGCAGGTGAAGATGTCTCTTGGACTGGAGGTGGCCACATACAGGTACATGCCAATGTCATCCAGATCATCATCAACACCAAAACACACAACCTTACCTCATTATTATCTTCAGAACCATCTTTACATGAAGTAAAATATGCATGTACATTTTGAAAAGTCGTCCCACTTCCTCCCTAATGGGATGCCAGAGTGGAAAGCCTCTCCTATGCACTGTGGGATTTGTAGTTTATGGAGGCCCAACTAATATGATCATGCATCAGTGGCTCTAAAAAGCATTTCAAGCACCCTGAGAGGGGTAACTTTAGATCAGTCAATCCGAATAGACCCTCTCCTTTTCCCACCCGGCATTGACCCTGATCCATCTGCTTGGAGGAGGGGCAGGGAAACAGGGGGGTGGGTAATTCATTCAAAAACATCCTTCAGATCGGTCCGATTTATGTCTGTTGAGGGCGGACAGAAATACATTTTGACAGCATTTTAGCTGTTGCTCATTTCATGGTCCTCCATTTAATGAAGGTGTGTTGCATTACATGCAGATACTTTGGAAGGATGGGGATTGGTTTTAAATATTAGAAATATGTACAGAGAAATGTATACATTCGTTTTTTATTGTATATGATTACAATATGTTGTGCATATCTCCCAAAAGACTTTTGTTTTTACATATGAATACATTTAAGATCCAAATTTGTTTGATCCTTTTGTTGCAGGATCACTTGTTACACTAAGAGCTTTACATTTGTAAAGTCCAACCCTCGCAATTGTTTAATGCTGCGTGCAGGAGGTAAATGAATTGATGCATGAGTGGATCCTGCAGATGGGCTGACAATGACAAATCTGACATAGTATTTGCATAACAACAGAACAAGGCACAGGACTGCAGCTCAAGAACATGACTCCATCTCATTTAGCCCACCCCTCACATTAAAGAAAGTGCTGTTCTGTTGCTTCTTTCCAGAGCTTTGCTGGACAGCGAGGGCCTGAGAATCGACAGACCAAAAACAAACAAGACCAACTCTGCTGTCTTTTTAGGTAACATTCTTTTTTTTAAATAAATCAATATTTTATTCCCATTTAATTTATTATTTGTTATTTTTTTATAATGAGGGCTATTTGAGCAATGGTCAAGTGAAAAAAAAAAAGTATAAAGAGTATATAACTTCAGCCTATATAAATGTTGGATTTTGGAACACAGATCCCCTTTCTCTAAATATTGCTGTGCTTTGGGCTGGTTAAATGATTAGTACTGATTGCATAGTGGGGTATCTGTTGAAGCCTGTACAACTAGCTTCCTGTGCTAGTCCCATAGGTCACTGTAACAGATGGCTCCACTTTCCAGTAATGCAGGCCTGGAAAAGCATAATGAAGATCAATACCTCTCCATTACGACTCACTCACAGTTCAGGACTAGTGTGTATTCCGATAACTCCCCTGAGAGGCAGATCAAGGGTCTATGTCTGTTTCAGACTATCTCCATCTATCTGGAGCTTTATCTGTTCCAGTCAACCACACTTGTTCCAATAGCATCATAGTTATCAGGGGATGGGACATAATAGGGGCATGAGCCACTCTGTCGTATTTCTGCTCATATTTGATGAATATTAGTGCTCAATGCGCTTCGACTACAGATTCATGACTAAAATACTTTGACGGTGCTTCCTGTAAAAATAGTATTAAATAATATTAACAGATACAACTGTTGATAATAATTAGTAAATGTTGAAATTAACATTAAGATTTCGAAGTGCTTTAAAAGTATTTTTCATTGTTAGTTCATGTTAACTAATGTTAACAAATGGAACCTTACTGTTATTGTAAAATGTTAAATTAAGAACATTTAGGATTCAGAAAATAGCTATGATGATCTGTCAAAGGTAGACTTAATCAAATAGTCTTCTTAAGGGGCTTGTTCCCTGTCTATGTGACAAAGCCTGTCTCACCATCTTCTTGTTTCTTGTTACAGATGCAATCTCAAAGCCCATTGGGACCCACCAAACCTTACAGACCATTGCGGCTTCCTGCCATTTCAGCAATACTGTGTCTACAAGTCACAGATCAATCACCTCCTCTCGCACTCTGCTGACCAGTGCGACTCCATCATGGACTCAAGGGACTCCACAGAGAACGCCAACCAAAATCTCAGTGCCAGAAAAGACAGGGGTTCATATCTCAGAGGAGTCTAAGAAAGCTGCTGAGGAGTCTGTGGATTATTTACAGCGAGAGAAAGTACATGAAGACATGGCTATCGCATCAACTCTCCCCAAAACAGCTGCAGAACCAGAACCAGAACCACAGCTCAAACCAGAAGATATCAAGGTGGAGGACGAACCAAAACAGTTCCAGAAAGCTCAGATGGTTGAATCTAAAACGGAGGAATCTGCTGTGATAAGTGTGTCAGCTGACCAACCAAGTAGCTTGTCCCAAACGCCAGAGACAGAAAGCTGGGCCGGTCCATTCACAGATCCTGCAGGAGTTTCAGAAGAAGGGAAGGATGAGGAAGTGTCTGTCGAAATGGCCCGAATCTCACACGCACCTAAGGTTACTTGGGAAGAAAATAAAACCGTGGCAGAGGATGAAAAAGATGATGCCTCTGAGATGGATGTAAGATCAGAGAACATTAGTGAAAGCTATACAGTTTCATATGGAGATATAGATGATAATGATACATTAACATCCAGCCATATCAGTACAAACTCCAATATACCGGTTTCATCGTTCCTCAAGCAAGGAGCTTTGCGTGATTTTAGCTATCAGGAAGAAGCAAATGAAGATCTGATGAGGGTAGATGAACAGGACATTGTGAGCAATATTAGCGAGGAAGTGACAGAGCAAATGAACAGTGAAACTGAGGCGGAGATTGATTCAATCAATGAGTGGGATAGACAGGAAGAAATTGAACCAGAGAACGAGATGAAAGTGACGAGCCCTAAGTCTGAGGCAGAGGAAGAGGGTGAAATGAGCATTGAAACTGAACTGAAGAATAAAACAGATGAAAATGTGACTGAAAGAGAAGAAGAAGAGATAGAAGAGATTGAGAGAGACAGTTCTGTACAGGATGGAGGTGTAGATACTCCTAAGAACATTGATCATCAGGAGAGTATAGAGAAGACTGTACCACCAGCTGAAGCCCATTCAGTTCAGAGAGTAAATGAAGGCTGTCCTTTACCTGAGGAATCTGAGTTACCTGAGAACCAAGGTGATGACGACGACTCCCCAAACATATCAGCCTCATGGAGAACTGATCCTGGTGAGTGTGACAGCTATAGTCAGGAGAACACGCTAGCAGACCCCCGGCCCTTGATCCAATATAAGGAAACAGATGGGAATGTGCAAGCCTCACACCTCATTGGTGAGACCAGCGACAGCGAGGATGAGAAGGAAAGAGTGGACGGAGGCCAATTGAATAAAAGCGCCTCAAAACGCTTCAACACTATGGAGGATCTCACAGAAGAACCAGACATGGACGTCATTGGAGAGATGATGACAGAAGACGTTGTTTCTAAAGATGCACTAGATGATGATAGGGCATGCATGAGTGGCTCTGGAGTCTATGAAAGTTTGGATTTGGAGAAAGAAGGGCCAAGAATTGAGCCCAGGGGAAACCCGAAAGAAGATACTGATGATGATATGAAAGAGATGAGGAGAGGTGAAGATCATGATGTCAAGGTTTATGAGCAAAATGAGAATCCACTACTGACTGAAAACCAGCATATACACACTGAACAGCTCGAGTATGAAACAGTCCATTCATATGAAAGTCAAGAACATGTCTACATAGACAATCCACCCTCATTTTCCGAAACATCTCAGGTCGAACAGCTTGAAAGCTCATTTGAAACTTCACCAACTCTGACCATGTTCCAAGATGCAGCTACAACCAAAGAACCAGAAAATCTTCTGGATGTTTCCATGGACACCAACATAGATCTGATGGACAGTCATTCTTTGGAAAGCGAGATAAACAGTCAGCCAAATATCATGACATCAGACATGCCCAACTCTGAACAGGAAGAGTGCAATAGCTCAGAAGATGAATCTCCAAATGCCAGCCAGTGCTTTCAGAATACAAGCCTTTTAGCAGCGGCTACTCTCACTGAGCAGCCATTGACCTTTACTAATGGAGGATTTAAGGCTGATTCTGTCTCTGTCAACAACGATGTGCCTGAAGAAGTGCTCAGTAAGGAGAAGACCACGGAAGAAACTAAAGCCTCTCAGATTTATGACTGGGATAATTCTAACATCTGGGGCAAAAGCATGAGCATTCCAGAAGCAGCAAGTATGGATGAAAATTCAGGCGTTTCCCCGGTGAATGAGATTGAGAATTTGGGAAGTCCAAACAAAATGCCAAGTGTAGCGGAAAATATCTTTGGAAAATTTGAAGAACATCTTGAAATGACAGATGAGAGCTTTTCTGAAAAAGTGATGACTGTGATGGACTGTGAGAGCAACAATTCAGGAGAGGAGGAGGAATTTCAGTCAAAGGAAAAGAAAAGTGAGTTTCATAGCCTTTTCAGCACTAGTTTGAAGGAGGATTTCTGGAGCAAAGGGAACGTTGAGATGGCAGCTACCTACGACCCTGCCAAGACTGTAGACTTCAACCAGGCCATGGTCTTTGGAGAGGAGTGGAAAGATATGGAGGAAATGCCAGCAGCAAATGGAAATCCTACAGAAGAGATGGACATCCTCAAAGGCCGGGATGATAAACGAAAAGATGAACAGCCAAAGCGAGGCGAGATGGTCCCATCTGATGACTCTGTTGATGAAGGGGATTCCTGGTCCTCTGGTGATGAGTAACAGCTTTGTCCAATGATGTTTTAGACCATGTAAGACTAAACCAAAAACATACAAAAGTAGTGATGCCATATAAATAGATGAACAGCAACATTAAACATGAAGAATACATTCACAGAAATTAAACAAGATTGCAGAGCGTAGTGTGTGTATGGTACAATGTGATTTCTGTAATGCGAGTCAACAGCCTGGCATAATGTACCAGCTGTCCTCTCAGGATAAGAAAGTGTTGTACTCCATGACAGCTGCGGGCAGAGAGGATTCCTAAAGACTGACTATGAAGCCTTACTTCATCTTTTGTGTTTCTGCACCAATCAGACCAGCTATCCAATTACCTTCATATGTCAGCGTTAACAAATTTTGTGAATTTGCACTATTACGATGGAAAAACAATGTGAATTAAAACTTGTTCAAAATTCTGAAAAAAGAATAAAGACTAATAAAAAGTACAACAGCGAATACATTGAGTTGGTGTTTTCTTTTATCGTTATTTTTAATTGTACAATTTTGATCAATCATTTCATGAACATATTTTCCCTCATCAACATTGCATACATGTAACACTTTTTTTATTTAGATAAATGTAAATATGATTCTTCAAATTTCAGTTTGCAATGAATCAGAACTCTTAGTTGTACAGGCTAAATTCACTCAATACGGCAGCGAATCACACTCTGATTTGGAGCCCAGCTCTGGTAAGAACACAATACTGATCTGAGAGAAAGAGGCCACACTAGAAGAAAAGAAGAATGAGGAACAATGAATAATAGATGACATCACCGCCTCATTTCCCTCTGTATGCATGCTGGCTCTCTGGTGCCACGGATGGGGGTGTTGGGGGACAATGACTGGATAAACATGTCTGCACTTCAGCCAACACCCTTGTACCAGAAGACATAGCAGATAAAAACCCGTGGATAAATATCCTGTGGAAAAAAAAAAAAAAAAAAAAAAAAAAAAAAAAAATTATAAAAAAAAAAAAAAAAAAAACCTTTAATTCTCCAAAAGGTTCAAGTTTCTATTTTTGGTCCAAATCAAACAGCTAGTCTGATGACCCACACATACAAATACTCAAAGCAGGATTTACAGGGTCTTTTGAGAGCTTAAACAAAAGTGAGGCAGGGCAACAGCTGGGCGGTCAGATGCTTCAACACCTGCTTCCTGTGTAAGAGGATGCCACACAATCACGCCTGATGCAACAGCAAGCAACTCTATTACCAACCCATTGAACTGAAGATCTGATACTGTTGAAATGACAGAGGTTATTTATTTCAATCTGATCTCGACCTCATTCACAAGTGTCAGTGAGAGCTATTTGAGTGAATGACCACAGAATCCCGAGACCACAGTGCTTCAAATAAATCTCGATAAACCCCAAATGTGTTCAGGGGTCGAGTGACATTCAGCTCTCTCTGCTCCCTTTCCCATCTGCCGCTGTTATTGATTTCTATTGATTATCAATGCCAGATACTGAGTGACTGATTATTTTTTAAATTAGACAGGACCCACCATTCATCATTTTTCTTTTAACTTTCACATTCTAATGCAAATGTGTAACAAACCTAACGTCACCAAACCATGGCCATTACGTAATGTTCATGCTGTTGCTTTCTCAAAAATGTCCTTTTCCTGGAGAATGATGTCATTAAAGAACTTTTGTTAGGTCAATTAATAGTACAAACCAGATGTAAAGTGATATTGAAGACACAGGAATACACAATTACAGCTAAAACATTAAACATTTTTGAGGAGGAAAGGAAAATCATTAAGAAAAAACTGGAAATGCTCTTAATAAAATAAAATAAAAATCATGTTGGAAGTAGTAGAACTAATAAAATGATGTAAAATTTACCCATGTTCATGTTCTTTATTGTGATGCGATAAAAAGGTAATACTTCCCAATAAGGTTTCATTAACTACCTTAGTTAACACAAACTAACAATGAACAACTCTTCAACAGCATTTATTAATCTTAGTTAATGTTAATCTCAACATTTACTGATACATTTTTAAGATCAAAAGCTCATCTGTTAACATTAGTCAATGCAATGTCAACTAACATGAACATTTTTATCAACTAACATTAACAAAGGTTAATGAATGCTGTAAAAATGTATCGCTTAATTTTAGTTAATGCATTAACTAATGTTAACAAATGAGACCTTATTGTAAAGTGTTACCGATAAAACAAATCTGAATAATATCATTGATTACCAATTGCGAGTTTAATACGTTCATTTAGTTTAAGACATGTAAATGCAAATGAATTGTATAACAGGAATGACCCGTATACAATTATGAAGAAGAAAAACTATTTAAAACTGAAACCTCAATTTTTATATCAAGAGACAAAAACATTTGATTTATCCCACTGCCTGAAGGAAGAGAATACCAGCTGATTCAAAAGACAAAGATATTGATTGAACATCTGTGGAATATTTCCCTTTGGAGTGGACTTTGTAACCTTGCAGATCTTTTTATGCTCAAACAGCAACATTACAGACTAACTAAAGTTGAAAAAGCATAATCAAACCCCTTTAAGGATGACAGGGGTGTTTGTAGGATGAAATGATCCATGTGTCTCAGTGCATTAGAAAAAATAGGTCAACTTTGTCATCCAGACAAACAATAAGTGGGGACCCGTCACAAACAGAAGCTCAATGGTTGCACCAGACGCGCAAACTGACAATCTCAGCTGACACTGTGCTCAGATGAACAGAATGTCATTGAGAAATGGTCTGCATTCAATGTGGGGCCACCAAAAGACACATGCACAAGACACTCACACTCAAAGTCATGTCATTGTGCCTGAATCACCATGATCTGTTGCTAAACAACAACAGACACAATGTCTCTGAGGAAAAAAACATTCTTAGCTACATATTTCTGCCTCAATTGGGTTAAATGGGTTAAAATAAAGACCTGGACTTCCTCTGAACAAGCAAGTTGGTAAATTATAAAACTGATTAAAGGAAGAAACATAACAATTGGTTGTTTCAAATTTACAATTTTAGTAGCTAATATCAGATAAGTGAAAGGCTGACATCTAGTGGCCAGATATGGAAAGGACTTGAAAGTTAATGCTGAAAGTTAATGCTGTTTAAAGTGTTTAAAGTAAACACTTTAAAAAAGATTTAATCGGAAAGATCATATGATAAAAAGCCTTACTATCCTAGAGTTTCAAACAAAGTAGGATATTATATATAGTGTGTATATATTTGGGGTCAGCAAGATGTATTAATATTTATTTTCAGCATGGATGCATTAAATTGGCTTAAAGTAAAGACCTTTACATTGGTAAAAATGTGACTATTTCAAATAAATGCTATTTGTTTGAACTTTCTATTAATCAAGGAATCCAAAGATTAAACAAAAAGATTTACACAAACATTTTAAGCAGCACAACTGTTAAACTGACAAGAAATATTTCTTGAGCACCAAATCAACTTCTTAGAATGATTTATGAAGGATCATGTGTTATTTAAATTAGCAATATTACTGTTGTTACTATATTTCTGATGAAATAAATACAGCCTTGGTGAGAATATATGCATATTTGCAAATATTGCTGGTTACTTTATCATTACAAATTATTGTCCACCTTTGAAAGTTATTAGATAATAGCATCTGCTAAATGAACATATATATATATAAGTCTAATGAGTGCACTGACAACAGAACAAACCAACCCACACAGAAACTTGTAATACAGACAGACTCATACTTGTGTGTAGGTCAACTTGTCTATTTAATATATAAAATACAATAAAACATACGCAAAAGGGGAGGGTCATAAAGGACAATGGATACTTTGGTACAATAACAAACACTCTTTTGTAAAAGCAGTATAGAATTTGTAATAACATATCAGTGCATACTTTGTTTATGAAAATATACACAAACTGTATATCATTCTCCGAAAACAACAATTTTTTTTCTTTTTTGTCTTTTTTTTTTACAACAAAACTCAAAGCAGACTAGCCGAACACAATATATTAGCTATAATTTTTCTTTTTTAAACTGTTTTTCTTCAATTTCTATTCTAGTTTTGTGTGTTGTATATTCTTATTGAAATTACATTTCAGTTTATTTATAATATGACTCATTCTTTGCTTGTCTGACGCCCATGCATTGTGTCTGATCAGAATAAATTAAATGTGTGGATGTCCCACCTTAACTATGTGTAGATACTATTGTACAATTGACTAAAAATTGCAGCATTGAACTGGTAATTCTATCGAACCTGTTTTATCGCTTCCCTCAATTAGCAATAAGTACTAATATTACTACAACGGTTTTGTTTTACTTAATAAATCGTGCAATATTAGTAACACCCCTTTGAAGAACAAAAAAGAAAAAGAAAACAACAAAAAATTAAAACGAAAATATATTTATATAATATTCATATGTAATAAAAGAAAATCAAATTAAAATAAAACAGGATGTCTAACCTACACAAAAAATAAAAGCAAAAATAAAAATAAAAACCGTCTTTCTAAATGTATCGTTATTATTACCATCTGTGACGATAATCATAATGGTAATGATAATCATCGTAACAATTATATTAAAAACAGACAATAAAACTGTCACCAGCACAAATTAACACGAGAAAAAGTATGTGAGAATCTCTAGACATCATACAAAGGGAATACGGGGACCAAAGTGAACTATTCACCGGACGATTGTCTTTTCTTTGATTACTCAGATTCCTAATTTTATCACGAGGTCTTCAAGAGAGCTTTTTGAACGTCGCCTTAGCCTTGAAATCAACACAGCCAGCGCTTCGAGCAGCCGGAGTATCCCGTGCGCATCGGCCTCGAGGATCAGGCTGTCACCTTATAAACGTACAAAGAAATCACTGCATTTGTTCAAAGCTCAGGACACAACAGTCTTTAAGTCAACGGGTGCGCTGCAGAAGCCTCGCTCTGCTATGATGCAGTTCTAGAAAACATCCGCCCAGTAGCTCTAGAACCTCAGTCGAAGGGATACCAACGCACGTCTGTGATGAGTCCGAACGAACGCTTACTCTCACCGCCTCCCGGTACTGCATCCATCATGTGTGTGAGTGTGTGTGTGTGTGTGGAATCTGGTTTAAC